AGCAGATCGACCAGACAAATTTAACTTTTTGTGACACCCCAAGTCGAAAGAAAACGAGGATAGAACATGTACCGACCAACAAGCACATCGAAAGAAAAGCTTTCCAACATGGTGCCAATATCGTAGGAAGGAGGCGTGTTATAAGCATCACGAGCGGAATATCTAGCAAAAGGCTTCTGAAAGCAGATTCGGACACCCCTACTGGGCCACCGAAGCAAAACCCATGTGTGGTTCCCAAATTGACCTCTCAAAGGCCTCACATATTGAGAACCGGTGAGACGTCTGGAGGCTAAATATAAGAACAGCGAGCGAGATAAAGTTCCTTGATTTTCACACTGTGAATTGTTTGTTCGTGGCCGTTGGGCTAATACCCTACCTTAAGTGGCCTTGGGCGGTGAACACAAAACAGAGAAGTATTTATACAGTATATAGGCGAATCTCTCGGGTGGTGCGAAGACACAAAATCGTGACGGCTTCCATAGTATTAGCGTTAAAATGTTACATTTTCAGCTTACATTATAAGTTTGGAACAACTTACCTCGGAACAAACTAACACGTCCCACGCGCCACGTATTTCCTTTAATTCTGCTTACGGATAAGCTGTGGTAATTCGTACGGTTCCAAGTTTCTCTATGGCTGTCATAAAAGCCTTTGAAACCTCACAGCACTGTCAAATCTTTATAAATGGTCAAAGGCATATACCGTATATATATATATATATATATATATATATATATATATATATATATATATATATATATATATATATATATATATATATATATATATATATATATATATACATATATATAGATATATATAGAGAGAGAGAGATGCAGTGTGACGGTAGAAACCGGTCATTTCAACGAATTTCAAATCCTTAAAGACCTGGACAACTTTGCCAGGTGCCTACGGCTACGCGAATACTTTCTCGATAGACCACCCGTACCCCAGAAACCGCATACGCGACCTAAGAGTTATTGGACGCCTCGCACTCAGCGCGACAATTGTCTGGACTTGTATATAGCCGCCATACAACGCAATATCTTGTGGGAATATCGCAGTCACGGGACAAAGAGGAAGAACTTAACGAGATCTGAGAAAGAATCCCTAAAATTACTAGCCGGCTAGGAGTGATATTATAATAAAACCCGCAGAAAAAGGGGGGGGGGGGGGGGCAATTGTCCTCCTAAAAAAAGACGACTGCATCCGGGAAGGCCACCGATAACTAACCAATCGAAAGTTCTACGAGCCACTAACGGGCGACACGACGGCAGAACACACGTGGGTCGCAATATTGGCACTAAAGGATCTTCTAGAACAAGGGAAAATAACTACTAATGAATACAATACAATAAATCCAACTCATCCTTCCTATGGTCGCTTCTACATGTTCCCAAAAATCCATAAAGCCGCTAACCCAGGTCGACCAATCGTGTCAGGATCGGGTACGACAACTGAACCGATATCGGGATACTCAGACAGTTTAATCAGGCACATGCCCTTAAATTCTGACTTTTATATCAAGGATACCACCCATTTCTTGAGAGAAATTTCTGATTTGCGCGTACCGCAGGGGTCGTATCTGGTCACCCTAGATGTATCATCTCTCTCCACCAATATCCCACATGACGACGGAATAGCCTCTCTAATTGAAAATGTACGAACAACACAGACAAGTAGACACCCCTGATAGTCACGTCATTGCCACCGTCACGCACTTAGTCTTAGAACTGAACTCATTCGAATTTAACAAAGAATATTATAGGCAGGTTAACGGCACTGCGATGGGTACTAAGATGGCACCCAGTTATGCCAACATATTTATGGGCAAACTGGAGACCAAATTCCTCTCTGACTGTTCTTTACAACCACTGATCTACAAAAGCTTTATAGATCATAATTTTCTTATTTGGCCGCACACAGAAGAGAAGCTGCTAGACTTTATAAATTAGTACAATACTGTACATCCAACCATCCGCTTCACTCACGCTTATTCTCAGACCAGTATCAACTTCTTGGATACCACTGTAATATTAGAAAAAGGCAAGCTTACAACTAATCTTTATCGTAAGCCAACAGATCGGCAAAAATACCTCCACTACCAAAGCGACCATCCCCGTCATTGTAAGAATAGTATACCCTACAGCCAGGCCCACCGCTTCAAACGCGTATGCTCACGGCAAGAGGACTTCCAATCGAGCTCTGATCATCTAAAGAACGCACTGGAAAAACAAAAATATCCTCTGCGGGTCATTAACGACGCAATTCAAGAAGCCGCCCAACTAAACCGCGCTGACCTCCTTGAGGACAGCCCTCCTCAGTGCAACGCGCAGCGCACGAATTTATGTCTAACCTATAGTATGAATTTGCCCAACGTAAATATTATTTTAAGGCGACATTATAACATTTTAGAACAAAGCGAACGCCTCAAACGTGCATTCCCATCAGCTCCCGGGGTAATTTACAGACGTTCACGCAACCTTAGAGACAGCCTATACTTCGTTTCAGCTTCCGTCCGAGCGCAGCCAAAGGCTGAGGGACGGTTCGCAACTTCGAGAAGAGCATTCCTACGCACCACAAAGTAGTTCACAAAAGTAATTTCTTTTAAAATAACTGTTTTTTGCGTAAAAACTGCACAATGTTCCAGATGTGTACTGCTGGGAATGATTTGCAACTAAAGGAATCAGATCTCTGAAGTTTATGTTTTTATTAATATATGTAAATGCATGTGGTTTAGTGAAAACATGTATATCCGCTGGCAACACGGCGGCAGCGCTCGGTTTTTCTGTGCGATTTCGTTCCCGTAGTCGCCAAATCATGTGCTTCGCTGCTTTCCTCACCGAGTCGCTTCAAAACGCCCTTTCGCAAAGGCACATTTGGGCGTCAGGCGCGAGAAGTGGTGATGAGTGTCTACTTTCAAATTCGGCAGAAGACTCCGACCGCGTCGTACGGCGAATGTGTTGTAAACAAGCAAAGCGTCCGGGCCACTACAATTCAGATACACGGCGAAATCAGGGCACCCCTTTACCTGCCGATCACATTGAACGCCGAGAAGCTGGTGGAAAGGACTGCGCGTCGAGCCCTGGCATATCCAAACAATACAAGGAAACATCAATGGCCGGGTCATCGGGGACCATGCAACGTGTACTTACAGCTCGAAACCATGCCGAACAGGTGGGAAGCTTGGACACAGATGCCAGCGGCCAGCCTACGTACTGACATCCCTTGTGACAAAGTTTCAGAACGTGAAAGGGCACTTTTTAAACCTGTAGCAGACGATAGCGTTGATACACCCGTAGCAGACGAAATACTCGGCTAGCGCGGGCGGCGCGGCTGACCGGCGGCGCAGCCGACCGGCGGCGGCGCAGCGGAGTGATACAAAAGTGCAGGCGAGATAGCCTGACCTATTGCCGGCGTGTGATTGGCTCCGCGCACATGTAGGTTTGGCTGCGCTCGGACGGAAGCTGAAACAAAGTATAGTTAACTCCCGACTGAATTCGTCCCAACCAAATAACGGATGCCGACCGTGGTGCATGAAAGCAGGAAGCGTGGTCTGCAAACATATGCGAGAAACGAACACGGTCAATAGTACGCATTCCCAGTTCTCAATAAAAATCCGAGAGCAGCTTACATGTGACTCTTCAAACGTAATCTATATGGTACAGTGTGAGGTGTGCAAAAAACAATCTATAGGACAGACCGAAACAGCGTTCAGGCTACGTTTTAACAGTCACAGATCACACGCAAAAATCCTTCCGAGTCTGCCAATTTCAACACATCTCACCCTTCAGAACCACACATTCGATAAATTATCTGTTACACTTTTAGAGTCTGGTTTCAAATCTAATCGGGAACGCAAACAACGCGAGTCATATCTTATATACCGATTTAACACAATAAGGGAAGGAATAAATGGAAGCCCAGGAACACTTGCATCGATTGAGGCGCTATCGAATAAATAGTATAACGACCATAACTAATATACCATTCGGACCTAGAATTTTGTGGTGCTGAGTTTAGAGCTAGAACTGGACAGTGCGTTTTCGTTCCTTTGTTGTGTTGTTAAGTTCATTCCCGTACATCCTGTATTTCCGTAGTTCCTACCACTTTTGATGTGTCACCTATGTATTCGGCGACCTCCGCGTGTGCGGCTTCCCCTGCCTTAGATTTCGTCCCTTTGTGTTCTCTATGCGCAAAAAGGAAGGAAAGGGAAAAAAAGATTTTTTTCTTTTATGCGATGTGTTATTTGGTCAGTCACCTACTCTCGTCCGCGCCCCCCTTATTTATTTTATTTTTTGCGACGTTTGTGTGCGGTTGTTTACGACTTAGAGTTCATCCCTTCTTTTGTGTGGGATTCTAAGTGGTGTACCCCTATCTGTTCTCTCTAGGCACGTTCTTTGAATCCGAACTCTCTCCCCTCTCAAAACTGTATAAATAGAACCACATTTTTCCTGTAACCCTTTTCCTGACGAAGACCTGCCTCAGGTCGGAACGACGAATAAAATCCTCCTGGTTTGTTTTTTACCGCCACCCTGCATCTCTGTCTTCTACGCCTTCGGCCTCCAAGCCAACATGCCTATATATATATATATATCTATATATATATATATATATATATATATATATATATATATGTAATGTCCCCTTGGTTGTATCACTTTAGCTGTGTCGGCGATTGCAGACCGAAGCTGCCCTATACGTCCTGCAACGTGGTAACCTTAATCGTATTCGGCCAACACATTCTATAAACATCTGCGTCGCTTTCACCCGGGCGAAAAATACTGAGACACTGATCTGTGGATGCATGCGAAGCATCTGGCATACCGCACAACAGAGTTAAACTGCATGCTCAGAAGACGTTCCCCAGACCAGCAGACGATGATGTCGGCGCGCAGAAGGCGACTGTTGTAAAAGTCTAGAAGAGTTGTTGCGTCGGTTGAGCGTCCCGGATAGCCCAAAAGGAAACGCCCCAAAACGTGAAAAAAAAAAGTCCGTACCTGAGTTTGTGGAGTGCGGGCCTGAGACCGTTCCCGTCCAGGTCGAAGGCCGGCCCCATGACCAGGTGCAGCGATCCGTACTGGGCCTCCCAGAGCCGCACCAGGTGGAGCAGTTCCCGCCGAACCCCGGCCGAGTGGTTGGAGAAGAAGGGCAGCGCGTTCGAGTGCAGCCACACCGCCGACTGGTGGGAGCGGGACGACGCAAACTCTGCGCAACAGTCCGGCACAACCAAAAGCAAAACTTTTTTTTTATTAATTGTTTTACTTCGTTTATGCTTTGTTCGTTGGAAGTTTTTATTTGTTTACCACAATTATACAAAGTATAGGTTTATATTATTTGGATCGACGAAGAGCGTGTTGGTGCGGCCCGAGATTAAAGCAGTAATAAACATGTAGGACAAAGATAAGATGTGGTACTGGTGTCTTTCTCCCTACGTGTTTATTATTTCTATATTATCTCGTTAGTTTTTCATCGCAAATTAAACTTTTACGCAACGTGCTGTAGGAGCTATTCACACGTAATCAGCACAATCGAGCGGTCGATCAAGGAACTAACTGCCTTCAATTAACAATAATTTATGACAGACCTTCGAGGTTTAAAACAGTGAAGGAGGAATCTGCTGAACGAAAGGCTCTCACCACATGCTTAACCACAAAACGCACAGTTCTGGCCACTTGTTACTCCCTGTACCTAGATAAAAGTTAAGGAGACTCCAGAAGCTGCTTCTAGCCCCTCGGTTCCTCCACTATGCGCAAATGGTCCGCAACATGGCTATTGCGTGCTGATCAAAAGGGCAGTAGAGTTTTGAAAGCGCCCCGCTGACGTCACATAACTCGCTAGGTCTATTGCCTCCTTGGCTGGTGTATGGAGCGCTTCGATGTCATGGCTAATGCGGGAGTCTGTTTATTTGGAGCATTCTTAACTTATGACCCGATACAAGGCGGTACACCCTGTCTACGGAGCTGCACTCCACGCTCAAAGGACGCCATATGCCTTCCCTTTCCCCAGAAAACTCGCTGTATAAGGGAGCATGAAGCAGACGACGGAAAATTAATATCCAGAAATCCTCGTACTTAGAACGAAGAGGGTGAGTCATATATAGGAACCCGGTCTCGGGTTAACCGCCATCAGAATAAAGGTGTTGGAGCTCCTGGGACAGCGCCTAGATAACTCTGGAGTTAATTAAACCTTTAACACCAGCTCATGTTTCTGACATCATGTCAACACCGTGGCGCTGGCTGTAGGTAAAATACTCTAAGCCGAAGTACAGGAAAAGTGTTTGAAGGTATAAAAGCCGTAAAGATAGCTGGGGTAGTATTAGTGTAGCATTGGTGTTAGTTTGCACTCGAGATATTGTTCCGTCAAATACTAGGAGCTTTTCAGGCACACTTTCACCAATGATTGTAGGACTCACAAGAGTTTAATAGAAATGTTTTCTTGCATGTTTATGTTCGCCCTAGAACGACTTGCTCCAGAGTGTATGAGTGGGATTTATTTTCAATTGAGCCATCCGGACAAGAAGCTTGCTGGAATCGGCGCTGGCACGTAAAATTATATAACTTAATGCTTTGTCGCTGTTTTTGCGCAATAAAGCATTTTTTCAAGTTTTTATTTGTATTAGCGTCAGGCGGGTAAGCATAAATCAATAAGGTTAAAATCAGGATTTATATCGTTGTTTAAATTAGATCAGTTATTAAACTATGATGACTTCAATCAAAACTATCCTCAATATTAAGAACGGAATGTGTTTTTATTTTCCATACTTTGAAATTTGATGCGTTTTATGTGCATCTGATTTGTATTTACACAAATAATTATAAAACAAGAAATGTCTATATCAGGCTGCAGACAAACAAAAAGAAATGCTCTTCTGAAAAAAATTTAAACCTTGAGCTTGATTTCTACCTTCCACATTGTTCGTCAGCTACGTAATGTCCTACTGCAATAAAATCATAACCCAAATAAATAAACGAAAACTAGAAAAGTAATGTCATATTTCAATGAAGTCAGAAGTCGAAATAAAAATCAAATAAAGTTTTAACTAACTAATACAATTAAGCTGTTTTTGTTCTAGTGTAGCGGGGATCACACTAATGAAAGTTGTTATTGTACATTTACAGTAATTTTCTCTACCGGATTGCAGTTAGTGATCAAACAAATCGATCAATCAATCTCCTATGTTCAAAATACATCCAATGGGAAAAAATCCCTATTTTTGGCTACAGTGATTTTTTTTTTCAAATAAATCTGATTTATATCTTTTTTTTAATCTTGACTTGTTTTCCCTCTGACAAGTGTGCAAAGTAGCGTGTCTGTGCGATAAAGATGTAAATTCAAGAAACATAATTAAGCATTTGATGTGAATAATTTAGAAGAACGTAAATTTATTAGAAGATTGACATTTGATTGAAATAGGTTCCAATCATTATTTATGTACATTAGCGACAGTGAAGTGCAAAGTTTTGGCTGTGTATTGCACCGAAAGAAATATTTGTTTTTAGACTCCACGCGTGTATGCTGTATTAATAATGTGTTTTTAGTAAACAAACTAAATATTAAATATTCCACCGCGTTTTTGTTGTTTACACGGGGAACGGTGTACAACAGCGCGTGTGCAATAGGATGTGTTCCGATTGTCCAAGGTACTAGCGAGGGGTTTAACCTGACACCTTGGTGTAAAAGGGGGGTTCACGTTCACGGCTTAGCACGAACCCTTCGTTTTGCCTGGGTTTCAAAATATTGTCCCAACCGCTGTATCTTCCTTATATTTTAGGCACCTTTGCTCTCGCAAAGAACAGTGGACGAAGTCAGGGTGCATACCATTTAAGCTGCAAAAATAAATAGAAACGAACCCGTGCTCAAAGAAGCAAGTGCCTCAGACAGAACATGTCGCAATCACTCGCGCGCCCCGCCAAATCAGGCATATGAATAGAGGCCGCCTCTTGAGAGCGACAAAAGCACCCGTGATGCTGGAATTGAAAACAAACACTTTTAATGGGTGATATGTTTTTCTCGAAAATGTATGGAGAGCGCATAACTATAAATTTACTACTGCTCTTTCGACTTGCACATACTTCAACGCATGAAAGTAGCATTATACCAGGTCATACTAAAAGCATACTGTCACATCTTGTGGTATAGTTTGTAACCTACACTATGAAGAATACGATTATGCAACACATGGTTCTTAATCGGGGACGAACGGATGACAATCTGCGATTATGTCTTTTATTCGCTGTTCCAGCTAAGTTTGTTGCATAACTTAACAACTTAGCAACCCTTTTTTAGTTACTTGTATAACTGTGCTGGCCAACTGGGAGCCGGTCAGGGCTTACCGGCAGGAAACAAGGGCTCCTTGATGAGTGATTGGTTGGCCAGGGAATCGTACTCGCGGCAGCTGAGGTCTGCTCCGCCCAGTCTGGCGTCACGCTCCCAGCAAGCGTTGGCGATATATCGGTCGTGCTGGGAATCCAAGAAGGAAAACGTGCCGCCCACAATTAAGGGGCACCTCCACACCGATGGTAAGGCATGCCACCCGGTTTTAAGACCTCATTAAAATTATCCGTTTATTTTAAACGAAGCATCGCTTCTTTTGAACTTAAAAGCATGCATGCTCTGTGTCTCTTAGCGACCGCGATATTGCGGTATAGCATGTATGTGTATTCCGTGTTTCGAGGAGGCTCGTCGAAACATTATTGGTCAGTTTTGCAGTTCTATAGCACCAAACGGTGAAGATGAATACCTGATATTGCTCATATATGCCGAAATAATGTGGTAAAAAAAAAAGACTGGACGGCAGTTATATGGGTAGTCCAATAAAAACCTTTACGTATAATTGTTTTGTATATACTATTAGAACTATTTACGAGGGCTGTTTCTTTTTTATGTTCTGATGAACTGAGTAAAAACAGTAATGAAAACATTGTTTTAATACTCGCAGTGTATAATACATACTCTAGCTACTTCTTCCCGTAACTAGTCCACGGTTTAAGGCAGTTATGACATGGAACCGCTTTTGAATGCCCTCCTCAAAGAGGACTCCAGCCTGTGATTTCAATCATTCCAACATGCGTCAGCCAAACTGTCCCTCGCCACATGAAGGTTCGGGGAAGCATTTAGAAGCTTGTGTTTCGCCATAATTCATCTCTAAATTTGTGCGGCGACTATTCGAAGAAGTAGCTGTACTACGTGCGTAAAGCCTTTGCATCTTTTAACTATATCGCTGCAACGCCGGCCGGCCGGTAGATCAGCGACTTGTCCCGGAATGAATGAGCAGCTCAGCGAGACTATGCCCTGTGGCAGAAGGCATCCAGATAGCCTCGCTAACTTGCTGTTTTACGCCGCGATAAGGCGCTGATTTACCGGTCGGTCGGCGTTCACGCGTCATTGTTAAAAAGTCTAACGGCTGTATACTCTATGTATTTAAAAAAAAAATGTTTTCATCATTTTTTTTTTTACTTGGTTCGTCGGAACTTGGGAAAACGAAGAGAGCTGCAAAGAATGGCGTCTTCGCCGCTGTCTCCTTCACCAAATAAGGGCAGTATTAATTTATTATACAACACGCGAGAGTTTGATGTAGGTTTTTCTGAACTATTTAATACAAGTTTTCAATAATAGGTCGCCTAACGTTTTACATCTTGATTGTGTATGAAAATGTAAAACAACATATGTCAGCTCCACGCCTGGACAAATCCGGGTAAGTGTTCATGTTTTGTCAAAACAATTAAAAATAGAATGCTCTGCCTTCGGCAGAGCATTCCATTTTTACAAACGCAGATACTTTTCTGTTTGTTTGTTCTTTGTTATAATGTCTCATGTCATTCCACAGTTTTCAAATGTACAATAGACGATATGAGAAACTGCCTGGTGGTCTGGCAGCACTGTGCACTCGGCCATCTTGGTAGCGTCAAGTATCTTGAGTTTCGGTTTCTCAGCATTTCATGGGTGGCAATTCACTCCCTAACAACGGCGCTCACACCGGATTGCCTGGCTCGTGGAGATAGACGCTGCCTCCGTCAACATAGGCAGGGGTTTAAATGTTAACATTTTGTACGGACATCCGCCTTGTTAGGACTGATTTAACCTTGGAACTCCAACCACGCTTTTATAAAAGCAAAGATCCCGACGTCTCGGGGCCAACTCGGCCCCTTGATCACGGGCGACTGTTTCTGTCCCGCGGAACGGCCTGCCCACGAACCAGAGCATCCCCCGGGTGCTCTTCAGATTATCCCTCTTAACCATTAAACGTAGCTGCTTGGAAGGGTCCCCGTTGACCGGTTTACGTTGACACATGTGCACTGAATATACCACGACTCTAACAGAAGGCGCTTCCGCCAGTTTCTCTCCATCCCGAGGATGGAGCTGTTGTCGAGGTCGATGGAGTGGTTTGTCTTCTCGACGTGTTCAGCCAGCGTGCTTCCCTCCACATTCTTCTTCACGATGTCGTAGCGGTGGCGCCGCAGGCGCTCTGGATAGTTCGTTTCTCCAACGCACGGGATTTTCTCCATCGCAAGGGATTTTGTAAACCAGTCCCTGTGCCCTCTCCCTCGGGGGCGATCCTTTGGTAAGTGGGAAAAGTACCAATGTCCGGAGCGGTAGTGTAGCTAAGTGGTAAGATGTCTGCCTTATACGCAGCGGAACCAGGCTAGCGCAGCTAGCGGCGTTCAAGGAAACCCCAGTAGAGGCCGCCAAGAGTCAGGGTGCCCTCACGATGACGTCAAATATGTTAATAACCCAGTCCGGCCGTTAGGACGGGTACAGCTGTTAACAACCATGTCACATCGGGGCGCTCTTTCTGCGCTCAAGCGTAGAGTTCTTGTTTCCACCGCCTCAAAACATGGCGTTATGATCGACACTGCCGCCGGCCGCCGCTGTCTGTGGCAATCGTGGCGACGGCGCAACCGGCGCAACGGTCGCCGACATCCGATGAGCGTGATCGTCTGCTCCGGGTGTTCTGCAGAAAACGTGGTTTTCGCTCGGTCCGCGTTTATTTGACACCGAAAGTTCTGGTGCTTCCGGAAGAGGATGCCTTGGCGCTGCTGCGCTGCGAAAGGTGCGGGACTCCAGCAAGTCGAAAGTCTTGTCGTTCTTTGTATTCCCAAAGGCAAGAGGCAAGTCTTGTCGTTCTTTGTATTCCCAAAGGCAAGAGGCAAAGTTTCGTTTATCGTTGGTCTCGTTTCAAGCCCGTTTCATGTGGCGCGATCCTGGTTGCGATTTTCAGTCTCGTGCGGCAGAAACCCCATGAACCTTAATGCCGCCCACGTTTGTTTTTGCTTTTTGTCTTTATGTAGGAGCGACGTTGCACAAAGTCGCAAACAGATCGAACCGTACCACGTGCTAAGCGCACAGGACGACACAGGCCTTCTTGGTGCTCTCTTGTGCCCACAGACCCTTGCCTTGCTTTCGTGGGCAAGATTTAAGAGTGATTTGTGACGTGCATTCTCAGTCTGGTGTACAAGGATGATGTTATGAAGAATCGTTGGGCATCCATGGCAGAAAGGTCGGAGAACCTTCTCTGTCCAGCAATCTGCTAGAAGTTCCTCCAGGTGTTCTGCTATAAACCCTGGGGCATTTACGCCTTTGAAAAGAAGAGATCTGCAAAAACCTCATTGTAAAAGGTCTGCGCTGATATGAAAGCACAAAAACCGTTAAGCGGGTCACCTATCAGCTGAGTAAAAAAAAAAGTCGCATTTTTGTGTGCAGAAAACACTAAAGTTTCTGCTGCAGTATGCTGGTGCGATATTATTTATAGATGTATATTTCTTTAATTTTGCTCTTACGTGTTTCTCGTGCTATCCGTTCTATTGCTCCGTAAAGTTTATTATCTCTATATATCGTCTACTTTATGTGCGAGATCTGCGTAAAAATTAAAGTATGTATGAAAAGTAAATGTGGGCTCTTTGCCTCCTACCCACTTGAGGAGGAGCTTTTCTGAAGTTGCTCAGCAGTGATTTATAAGAAAATATAAAATAAAAGCCCCAGAAGACGAGAAGGAGGTCGAAGGAGAAATAAAATCGGGAAGCAAGTCGTGTGTGAGTGTGCGTGTGTGTGTGTGTGGGGGGGGGGGGGGGGGGGCGGCCGGTTCGCCTAGGCCCGCGTCCTGAACCGGCCGCCTAGGACGCGGCATAATAAGTATACAGGGGTCTTAACGCGGCAGTACAACTTGCGCCATCTAGGGGCGGATAGGGGCGGCCCGGCAGCAGTAGAGGCGGCGATTGCAACATCATGTTTTGAGGCGGCGGATACAAGAACCCTACGCTTGAGCACAAAAAGAGCGCCCCCGAGGAAACATGGATTTTAACGGCTGTACCCGTCCTATCGTCAGTTACAGGTTAAGAAGGTAGCGGCAAATACCCCTCAAAGGGAATCATATATCCCTCCGCCACCTCCGCATCCAATAGCGTCCCACCGTTTCCGTGACGTCGCGGCCAGCGCGCGAGGAAGGGCTTGCCTTTCTGTACATATTTGCTTTATCTTTCGACTTTGACTTAGCATTGTGGAAGCCACGAGAGGGAGATTAGAGTTCTCCCCCACCGACGGAAACAAATACGACTTTCGGGGATTAGCTTCCCCCCCGATGGATACAAACGCTGCTTTCAGGGGCTCGGTTCCCTCTCCGATGAGTACAAAGGTCGCTTTTTTTAAAAAAGTGGGATCGGAGACAAGTGGGAATCCATTGAAGCGGAACAAGGAGCGTTTCCAGTGAACTCTTCTTTCGACTGCGGAGAGATTTGAAACGGGCGCATCACGCTTGTGGGTGGAGCTTTTCCTACCTTCTTGACTTGTAACCGACTATAGTGGCTGGAGTGGGTTATTAACATATTCGACGTCGTCGTGACGTCACTCTAGTTTTCTATTTCGCTCATCGGTCGCTCTTTTTCTCGCTTCTTCGCTCGCTCGGACGCCCGGAGCGCGTTACAATAGCCAATGCTACGGCTGCATCGGCCTGGCGCGGTCGCTTGTTTACATAGGGTCTTTGCCGGTCGGGTCACTGGTTTCGTTGCTATCAAGATGGTAGCGGCAAGAAAATAGTTTCGTTTTCTTGGTGCGCTACTAGATGGCGCTCTACATTTCGTATATGGTTTTTTTGGATCAACACGAAAGTCAAACTCACTTTCGTATTCCAGACCTTCCCGTCTAGACCTCCACATTTCTGAATTCACCGCCACGTCCTACTCCTCACCCTCCCACTTAGCGTGAACGATGTCCACAGAGGCAGTCGCAGGGCCTTGTCGAATGCCGTCACGTAGTCGTGGTTGACCAGCAGGCACGGCGGACCATCGTCTGCCTCGTCGCCATCGGGGCTGGACGGGGCTCCCCAGGGCGTGTGCAGAGCAAGGGCCTCGGGACCTGCCGAGAGGACGGGGTCCTGCGTAGAGTTCATAGATCGCCTTGCGTCTGCGATGAAATATGAAGACACGACAGAACACACAAGATAAAGCAGAACCAGTAGTAAAACAAGAGTGTTGTCAACGCCTCAAGACGGTCAAATGTGATGCTTATGTATCGAGACACCGTAAATTTGCCTGTGACGAAACGTGCAGCGCCGCCAGCGATGCCTAAATGAATGCCAGGAATGTTTTGTACAGAACCGGTTGTAGTAGACGACGGAGTCGACTGAGGAAACCCAGGTGAGCTGGCGAGGGCAACCGAACGACAGCGCTAGCTTCTCTCTCTATATATATATATCTCTTGTTTGCTTTTTTCAGTGTTTCATGGTAGATGCTGCTGGGGCAAGGATAAGCTTACATGACTTCGCGCGCAGCCTTTGCAATTTTTGCACTGTATCTATCTACTTGTTTTGCCATCGTGCGGAGCGACTTTTCTCTTTGCTATGTCCACAATTTCACCGTTGCAGCGCGACTTCCTACCTTAGTTTTTTCAAATTCTTCACGGATAAAAAAAATACCTCTTTCAATCCAGAAAGCACTCCCTCTATCCTCCCTTGTAATTATTGTTACAGAGCCGCAGTTCGGTGCAATACAAGCAGCCGCATAATCAGCGGAAATAATTTCGCCTTTCGGGAGAAGGAACAAAGAAGGATACACAGGCAGAAACACGTCATGGGAAAATGACGAAAGCAAGAAGCACACACGAAAAAAAAAGTTAATCGATCGAAACGTTCGAGCAAGTGCCAAAAATCAATTGGTGATTAAAAATTGTAAAAAAAAAAAAAGTAAACCAAGAGTCAACCTTTGTTGCCCCAACGTGCCGACGTAGCTCCTAGCGATAAACCCGATATATTTGAACAGTCACATCTAAGGACTTGCTTGGTTTAGCTACAGTTATATACCATTTTTGTGTGACAATTGCCACGGTGAAATATGCCATAGTTGGATTGGGTGACACAAAAATGTAAATAAATTAAGGTCGCAAAGACTATACCTAGGAAAAAAATAATTAGTGACACAAACCGCCAGAATTCTAACGCCCTTCCATCTTCATGTGAAGTGGTTTGTTTGTTTTAGCCAACTCAGCTACATCAAGATCAGCATTCCGGCCGTCACAAAAGGCAAGGTCGACAGCTACTCATAAAAGTAACTACAGGGTTACACAAAACAAACAAATAAAACCCGGTTTTTAGATGCGGAGCATCTCTTGCTCGGGTCTTTGTCCCGCGGCGTCGTAGTCCGCACTCACACTATGCATGCGCAACTCTCCTCCTTCCCTCTCTCCAACAGCTGCTTGTTACTCTCTCCGCTCTCTCTCTCTACCAGCTGCGTGCACTTCGCGTGCGTTCGCTTCTACTCACACCGCGGGCGCATGCGCAACTCTCCTCCTCTAGTCTCCTCTCCTTCAAGTGTGAATATAAGCAGCGGTAGCGCGCTGCGCGCGTTCAGTTCACCGCTGTTGACTCCACTCCGTTCTTCCGATGAAGTGTGATGGAAGCAACAGTCCCGTCAGTTAGTGGGTTGGCGCAAGCAAGCGTCAGCACCACCCCCCAAACTAACAGCAACGCTACGTCCGGTAAACACAAAGCAGCGAAGGGCACGCGACGCTGAGCGCAAACGCTTGAAGCGAGCGGCAGACCCTGAACTACGGCAACGAGAAGCGGCGTCCATTCGTCAACGTCGAGCGGCGGATGCTGAACTACGACAACGTGAAGCAGCGGCGGTTCGAGAACGTCGAGCAGCAGAACCTGAGGTTCGGGACCGTGAAGCTCAACACCGTTAATAACACCGTTAATAACGATCCGCGATGCTCCGCATCACCCCATGGTTCCCCTCGGGAAGATGGTGTAATTTTTTAACTCGCATAAATGAACTATGCATCGCTGAAACCCTGTGACAGTAGTACGCTAGCGTTGGTGACTGAAGGCGGAAGTTTAATCACATGACGTCACCTGGATGAAAAGTAAAAAAAAAAGTGTTTATGATCCGACGTCCAACACTAATCAAACCAAAAATTGATATCGATGACGTCTGGAACACTTATTTCACTGAAAAAAGTTATCAGCTAGAGGAACGATATTGTTTATTGCTTGTTGACTTGTTTCACTGATATAGTTGCTACGAGCCCACAATCTCAACATTCAGTTTGATAAATATTAGGCTAACGTCGGCATCGGCTCGTGCATAATTTTTATTTTTTTCATTTAGGTAGCCTCATGTGCTCAAACATTCGCATTAGATCAGCATTTTATGCTAGTGTCACATTCATACGGAGGTCTAGCTTTCTGTGAAGCTTAGTTTATTATGTGGCCAAGAAACGAAATTTTAGTTTAACGACTTATTCCTGCAGATTACACATCAAAAGAAAACGCAAAGCAAAGAATCGAAAACCTTTAAATGAACCTTATAGATGCCTGAGAATGGCAGTCTATACGCTTCGCTAAGACAAAAATCTTTAGGGGACCAGTAAACAACGCCCCCTGAATGAGCAAACTCACGTAGCGAAACCCCGGCTGCCACTGTTGAGGCGGCAGGAATTCCTCAAGAGTGCATCGATGCAAGCCGAAACTGCCAGGAAGTAACACCGCAAGCCCGAGAGGCTCGCTCGTATGTTTCGGATACGCACGCCTTTGCACATGCAGCCGTCGTCTTCGTCCGCGGGAGTGTCAGGCGGCGGCACGCAAGTCGCCGGTGTCCTCAGCTTCGGCGGTTCAGGTAAGGGAGCCGGTCTCCGGAGCAGGTAGTGCAGGGATCCTCGTGTGCCGTTGTTGGGACGGGGCTCGATGGACATGAGCTCTGTGGGCGGACGACGTGTCGGAAACTAGTTCCGAGTTTCTATATATTTTTTTCTTTTCAGGCACACCTTTCTTCTGTTAGTACATCGGTGTTTAATGCGCTCATCAGTTATATTAGGAGCAGAGACCGAAATCTACTTTTCTTCAGGTTACAGTGGCTCAAGAACACGTACCGGCCATTAGCTCGTACAGCTCGATGTTGCGGAAAGGTCTGGCCGTCACGTTCTGCTTGAAGGCCGGTCCGTGGGCAACGAAGATGGACTGCATCCCGGGAGCGAGGTTGTCGTATCCGTGCGAACCTCCCTCGCAAGAGGCGGCCGTCTTGTCAGCCGCCTTGCTGCGCCCATGTCGCGGGAAACATATTTTAACAGCTTTCGGGATAGACAACAGTCTATTGTGGATCAGCAGGAAAAAACATCTGGAGCACGCCTTTATATGCTGCAAACGCTCTTCGGGTTCCTGCGATAGGCTGCACAACTAAGAAAGGCTGTCCTATTTCCTTTACAAAATTTATAAATTTTAGGAAGCCAAACATGTAGCATGACTGGTGTAGCAGGTGGCTGTGTAATCATGAAATAAAAACACTATAAAAATATTCGTAAAAATAATGAAGGTGTGCAGATATGTAAAGGTTGTTGGAGCTTAAACATTTCGGGTACCCTTTTTTTCTAACGTTCCTACAGGAGTCGTTATTTTAGAAATGTGTCGTGGGTCATGGCACATATTCATTCCTAAGGTCACCACATACTCCCGAATCCCCATGACGGCGGAGTTACCTCTCCTAGGCAATCTGAATTAGTGAGCAGTCATCCGCTAATTTGTGTGAAACGTGAACAAACACAATTGCATTAGGTTTATATACCTTTTGAAAGCACCCAAAATAGCTTTTTAACACATTATGTGTTTCAGGGGTACATTTTACGAGAAAGTGTTACGCTCGAGTGTAACGGAAAACTGTCACACTCGGACCAAGGAAGCAAACATAGACCATAGCTGGCTTAAGCCTGCGAGCTAGTAGAAGGAACACTTAGTCACTAATTATTATTTTCAGTCATAATTACGCATGATTAATTACAAATAGCCAGATTTGTCAAGCGACAACGCGGGAATCGAAAACCGGACCGTGAAGCCTATGGTTACGGGCGACCTTCGACGCTCGCAGCTGGGTCCCGAACGACAAAGCGAAGCTTTGCAATTTGGAAGCCAGCTGTCCGCGCATCATGTAACCGTTTCTGAATAAATTTGAAATTTTCTCCATCATTAGGGTAGACCCGGGAAGCGCATTGGAAACCGCGCGGAACTCCTCGTAATCAAGCCTATCAAATCATAACGCAGGCATGATGCACGCACGACACAATCGTGTTTAAAATATTGATGAAGACCGAGTCTAGTTTCCTATCTCAAAAAAGGGTACATCAGTCAAGCCGTACTTGAGTACCAGGTAGCCGGAGTCCATGTCCAACACGACGGGCTCAATGCGCCGGTGGGAGGAATAGTGGTAGCGCTTGGGCAGTCGCTCCTTGGCGTAGACGAGAAGGTGGCTGTTCTGGCAGCGAAGCGTGTCCACCAGCTGGGCCACTGCCTCGGGGCCGGGTGTCTTGGGCCGGAGCCGTGCCGTCGGACCCACCAGCGAGTAGAAGCCGGCCAGGTCAGCGAACTTTTCCAGGGCGATCACTTGGTCGCAACTGGTGCTCGCCATACCTGCGCGCAAACACAAAGCCGCCACTGGGCATGGCTGATAAACGAAAGAGATCTGCGCTAGAACGCAAACGTTTTATAGAATTTAAACGTCGACAGATATGCATGATAAAACTGCCTGTAGATATACTGTCCACACTTTTTCTGGGCATGTTTTTTTTATTCATAAAACGGGCAAATTAAGACGTGAGTTTTTTTTTTTTTTTTCTTTTTTTTTTTTTTTTTTTGGGGGGGGGGGGGGGGGGGGGTATCGGTGGCCAAGTGGTCTAGCACACACCAGCTCGGAGCTCGCGGAGCGAAAGCTCGCGCTGCAGAACCCAGGATCCTGGGTCAATCCCCGCCCCTACCCGCTTCGATCTGGATGAGCACCGTACCGGCGTGCGGTCGTTTATCACTACTGCCTGGTGCACGTTAAACACCCCAGGCTAGCGGTTGTACTGCACTGGCTAAATTGCTCATCTACAGCTGAGGCACCAGACGCCCACTGAGGCACCAGACGCCCACTGAGGCAGACTAACTTCCGGCTGTATAAACATACACACAACAATTTGCTTTGCTAGACGTGAGTTTATAGGCATTACGCTTGCGCTTTAGCATTTTCATTCTTAACATAAATTACATTGACTTCTTATTATCGCGCATCAAAAACATTTGAGTTTAACCAGAGCTGTGTATAGAGAGAGTTTGGTCAATGGGAGGCGCGGGCGGAGCCAGGGCGTGCACCAGATTTGGAAAGAGGGCTAGGCATGCTCTCTTGGCCAACCAAAAACCGAAATTAATCCCCTAGCGGTGGTAGCGAGGATCAGTTCTGATCAAAGCTGTATGTTAGTATATGGTTTTAATAAGCGAGTAACCGTGAAGTGTAGTAACTCTTCGTGGTTGAAAATAGGGTGCACGTGTTGTTTTGATTATGATCATGCAGAAAGATTTAAGAAACGAACGCGCCGCTCAACTCTGTTTTGCTCGGACAGAGTGTGACCACTCGGACGGCAGATTCCCGGCCCTCGGCGCTTGGCGTAAGGATTATGTCGATCGTTCCGCTAGTCGCACTCTTACACCAACATTTTGGATGAGCGAGATTGAAACATCATGTGTGCCATATTTTTAGTCACCGAGAGTCACTCCGATGCAGTTGTTAGATTTGCTTCTCGCGACCACAGCCAGGGCATTATTTCTGGCTTCTGGTTGGTCTCATTCGAATTTCTGAAGACGCCCTGGAACACGCCCAGCCTGCTTTCGACCAATGGCGCCTCCTCATTTGTCTCCTATACTTCTTAACGAATGGCCAAACTCTCTACATATACGCCTCTGAGTTTAACGAATTTATCTATATGCTTTCTTCGCATTCTAAAGAGAAATCGTGTTTATGGAGAAATAAAATAGTTCCAGTATGTATTAGCAAAATTTATCAAACAATCATGCAGTTTGCATGACCGAAATGTAATAAACAATAGCAATAACAGTCCTGTCATTTAAAATGTTTCAAAGCCCAGTTGGGGGCCGACCCACAGCATACAAACAAAAACATGGTGACCCCCGACGAATCAGCTGCCAGGTAAAACCGGTTTAAACTTTTTGTCTGTCCTCGACATGATATCTCATCGCAGAACTACCACTTCACACCTCTCCAGACTTCAGTCGCTTCTATGAAATGTGTTAGAGGCTCGGCTCCCTATTTGTTTCACCCTCCCTTCTTCCTATGTTTGCGCTCTCTTTGCCGCAGCGTTGCCCGGCAACGCAAACAGAAGTGTCAAACGACGGCCGTTATCGACTAAATTTTATGTTGCAAAACTAGCAGAAAGCGTAACTCAAAAATAGCCGAAATTAATTTAAAAAACAAAACACATGAAAAACGTAACAACCTGGAGGTCTTGGAATGACCACTCAGGTTTCACTAAGACTGTCTCTCATTGCCTGGAAGAAGCTGTCCCTTGGCATCTTTTCATGTAGTAACTAACATTGCATTTTAAATTAATTAAAGCCCCCCCCCCCCCCCCCAACGGATTAGACAACAAAGGTTTACGCTGGGGGATAACTTTAGAAAACGTGTTAAGCACTTAGACATCATGGCAGACGTGAGGTAACTAGAAAAACAATTTCGATTCCTTGCCCTGTCCTGAAAATGAAAGGTGGTGGCGGCCGTGGCACTGCACACTGCTGCAGACACCTTCACTGCCCTGCTTAAATTTAGAGGGCTAAAGTATCTCTAAGTTTAGCGGACGGTGTAGATGTGACACTGTGGCGTCGCGTTATAATATCATGTAACACTAAATTTCCGCTGAATTTAGCGTCGAAGTTCCTCCTTTAAATTACGCAGAAAACAATCTTCCTAAATCACGAAGTACGGTCACGAAGTACGTTCACGGAACACACACCGGGATCCACGGCGAAACCCCGCCAACAATTGCCGCCAAAACTGGGCTACCGTGATCGGAGACGATGAGCAAGTTGACGCATCCCAGTAGACGGCGCTCCTGGAGTCCCGCCAGAAGTCGGTCGAGCATGATTTCCAGCAGATCCAGGGCCTCGTCCACTTCGTCCGAGTGAGGGCCGTGGTCGTGACCGGCGCTGTCGGGTTCGTTCACGTACAGGCTGAGGAACGCCGGACGCCGCTCAGCGGGGAGGTCCAGCCACGCCAGCAACACCTCCACCCGACTCTGCCACGGCATCTTCCTGTACCGACAAGCTCCTGTTGAAGGCTCGCTCGGTGATGCCCACTGGCAACTTCGATTCAACGTTTGCTGCTTGAGTCAAAAGCACCCGTCCTCAGCTTTCTCCATCGTATTCAGAAATGATTTTGGTAAAGAATGTAGTGGCACGATGGCGAAAAGAAGGCGATGCCGCAAGCACCTTATGCCGTGTGATTAGAGAGCTTGGCGATCGACGGGTTGAAATTTCGTTAAGACCAAGAAATGAAATGTACAGTGTGACACTGAGCACTATTTCTTAGGTGCTTTTGTCCCGTTCAGTGCCTTGCCCTAGACTCTATGTTTAGTGTCAACTCGCGATCGAGTGCTCTGTTTTGTTTTTGAACTCCGCAGTATGGTTTTGAGCTTAGCAAACCCAAAAACCCAACCTAAGTTACTTTTTTTTTTTTTTGTGAAGCACTGGAAAGTTATTTGCACGCGGTAGCGCGATCTGTCCTTTGCTTTTCATGATTTCTGGATTGCGGAGATGGCGAAGTGGTCGTGGCGCACACGCTGCGATATATTTGATGAAGGACTACAATTCGCAACGCCACGTGCATCGTCGTGAGCAGAACGCGACGGAAGGTGCTATGGATTCGAATATGGATTTATGGTTAATCTCAGGTATCGGCGATATCTAGTTCGTGTTATTTTCGCGCTTGATTTTCCGGTTCATCAGTTTGCCAGTATTCCTTTTGTTATTTATTTATGCCCGTTTTCACTGATAAAAGTGAGAATTGGTCCCTTTGCCTTAAAACAACAATGTGTTCTTAATTTATAGCTTCTATTTCAGAAATGACGGCGAATATTGGATCAGGTCAAGCGGTCACCGTGTACTTGTTTCACTCTGGCTGATGAACTATTTGGCACAATCAAGTTATAAGACAGATGTTTGTTGACAAAGCATCATTTTTTGATAAAAATGTAACATGACAAAATTGGGGGAATGTACTTTGAAGTCCGGAGTTGTACGTTCCTCAGAAAGAGCCAGAAAAAAATAATTTTAGTAAAATACAAGTACATACTCAGAAAATATACTCCAAGTATGTTTTTTCTAAGTCTGCTTGAAGTAGCACTTCAAGTAAGTACTTCCCAACACCGGTCACATGTATGACATCTTTCTTATTGCAATAAAATTGACCTTTTCATAACTGTGTGTGAAAAAAAATTCAAGTTATATTTTGATTGAGCATTCTTGTTTAATTCACATTACATAGGAAATTTTTGTTTTCAAAATTTTTTTTTTGTTTGAAACTACAGTTTGTATTCAAATATATTAGATCTGATTCGTAAACTTTATTATTTGATTTGATTCGCTTCAAAAAAATTTGATATTCGCAGACCTCTACTCTTCATTCGCCATGTTGCAGTTGTGGAGTGCAGTGGCCAGAGTGGAGAATAAAAACGCAGTTATTTTTAATAGTTATTTAAACCCACACCGGTTTTAAAATGATGATTTAAATCAAGCTTTTACAGCAGACATAATCCTCAAACGTTTGTACAGAGAAAAGGTATCCGCATAGGTTTCTGTTTTGAACCAGTTTTGTGTGATATTCTTTTAAAGAAGCTGCGATGCCGCCAACTTGGAGAAGCTGGGAGACGACAGCGAAACGAATATCTTTGGATGCGTAGATGATTTTTGTTTCATTATTTTTATTGAAGAAACTGAAAATTATTAACGGCGCCAGCGTTCGGCTAGGGGTCATGTGCTCACTGATTGGACACGAGTTCCAAACGAACACTGACGCTGCACACGTTTCAAATTCCTGGCCTACAGTGGCCTTCTTCAGTGACGCAGAAAGCACTTAGGCCTTCTCATCTAGGACGTGTTGGTTAACCTGAAGTAGCGGAATGTTTGCTAAAAGAGATAAGAGGCACAAGAAAACCCTCCCGTGAGAGGCCGAATGTAAGACCTGCTGTGATCCCCTAGTTACACTCAATGTCCCACAATTTAAACAAAGTGTCTTAGCGCTTCAACATTCACATAGATTTAACAGAGCCTGTAAAAAGGCACGGGTTTGCGACAAAATCAAATCCACGAGAAGCTGTCAAATTCTTGCAGCACAAAGCACAAATATAAAATCCCGAGTGTGCGTCAGGTGTTGTTTACGAGATAGCCCTGTCGCGCGGCGCCGTGTACACTGTCCAGACGGGCAGATGCGTGAATGACCGTGCACTCGAGCATGCGGCTGCAACGCGAGCTAGCGTTTTTGCCATTTTGTCATTTCATGCACTAGAAGCCCATGTAAGCCTGTGTTACGTGACTTTAAGAGTCTAGCCTGGTACAAAAACACGACAAGGGGAGAATTTCATGAGGCATACGAAATTTGAGATAAACCAATAGATTGCATAGTAAGGCAAAAATTGCCATAGAAAAAAAAAAGTTTGACTAAATCAAACAAGCTTTGCACAGAAATGCTGATGACAGGACAGGTTCTTTCCAGTGCCTTATGATGCCTTACTTCCTGGTCCTTGTTCATTTTAGCTCTCTCATAATTTCGATCAATGAACCAACTAGTCCACTTAACCAATTTTCTGCGCAATTTATTTTTTAATTGTTTCTTTATTATTTGATGCTTTCAATGTGCACTTGTTTAGTATTTAAATCAAGGAATCGAGCGAACAACCCTTCTCAGCAAATCAGAGTGTCGAGCTTTTTTTCTACGTTCCCTTCGTTTGCTTTTTACGTAAGATCATACTGCAAGCAAATCAAAGCGCCAAAGAAACTAATACGAGAAAAGGAATGTCGAATTGTCGCGCACGAAAAATGCTTCACGCGCGTAAACTGAAAATAATGTTTAATAGGCGACCTTATGCAATAAACAAAGGAAAGGTAAAAACGTCCAGAAAGCAGCAGCGAGCGATGGCGGTCGGCGTGACAGCTGGCTAGAGCGAGAGGGACTGTTCCTCGTCTTCGGGAGAGTCAAAGACAGTCAGCAAAGCCACGGTCAGCTCTTTATCCACCACACTCGGCTTCTCGATGATTCGGCCTAGAATGTTCTGAAGTAAGCTAGGGCGAGACTGACTAGGCAAGGTCATGCTGACCTCCTTCCCTTTTACAATCGGGGTGAGAGTATACGCGAATCTTCTAGATGAACGGAGAAGCGGTCCTTCTCGATCACGCACGCTGCAATACTGCAAGCAAATCTCAATTTGAAAGAAAGAGCGAATGCAACTTTATCGCTAAGAAAATAGGCTGCTTTTTTAGTTTAACGTCGTTTATTACATTTAATTAAAAGTTAAAATGTACTGTAATTTGCTGTTCCGTATTGTTTTCAATGATCGAATGGAATGATCAATCAACCTGAAATGTTTAAAATTCGTACATTGACAAAGAATTACTGCTTCTGCCTGCAGTAATATAAACAAACAAATTGATTTAAATAAAATAAATTCGATTTAGATCAAATACATCTTATTTATTTTATCATTAAAAATAAATCATGATTTTCTCCACATTGGCGCTAACTGGCTCGCCGAATGAGCATTGGATAAGCATACACCCACTCATTTCTAAATGTGTATGTAGTCCTCACGTGAGCATATGTGCTAAGTGCGATATAAATAAGCTCCTGAAACAAGCTTTCAATAGATGCGATTGCTAAAATGTGGCAGTGCGATCTTGAAAGCTCTGACGGTCAGCACATGGCTACTTGACCTGCCATTGCCAGGGAGCTTCTCGTCCTCTTATTGGTGGCTTGTGCTGCGTATGTTTGGCGTCTCATCTTAACCAGCTTTTCTCTAAGTCTTTCTAGGCACCCTGCACAGTCCTGCGATAAGTGTAGCAAGTGTCTCCGAAAGAAAGGCAAGTAACTGGAAACTCGGAAGCGAAGATATCTGAATGACACAACATCCCCAACGCGATGACAGCATTCAAAGTACGCTGCCTCTGCCTGCGCATGCGCTCCAAATAACTTTAAATTTTTATTGTGATAATTGTTGTGAAACCTGGTGATTTTGCAACGAGGGCGTGAGTAATCAGTTTTACAGAGCAAGAATTTTGACTTTCAATCTAAAACAATTTGTAATTGTTCGATGTCTGTTCCGTGTAACGATACGCCTAACGTAAATTCCAAACATTCTTGAAACATATTAGCCTTACAATAAAATAATATGAGAAGAATAAGGCCGGAAGCATAAAACATATATTTACTGGTTGAGCCTTAAGTCTCGAAGGAACACGCCACTATTCGAAGAGCACGAGTACACACTTTGAACAAGCTTCGTATTTAGAGGCAGCGTTTAGAGATTTCGCTGGTCAGTTTTGAAGGACACCAATGCAACGGAGCGGGCCCCCGCGGCAACCCGCGAAGCGCAGACGCAGCTGTCGACATCTAACATCGGTGATCTGAGCCTCGTCCTCAAGAATCCTGCCTTAAAAGACTTTGGTAATTGGTGGCATACAAAACAGTTACTGTCAAACGAAGTTCGTTTGAAGAAAAAGAAGCACGAGAAACCAAAAGCAAAGGGAGCGTCATGCGCTCCCTTTACGCGGGGGTATCTTCAGAACGCAAAGCTCTGGTTGCAAGGATTAATGGGTGTAGCTGGCTGCCTTTGTCGCCACTGCACTCCTCGAACGTGTCAAAACGCGGAACGTCAACGTCCGGCGTTTGACTTTCGCATTCGAACGTGTTTGGCGAGTGCCGCGGAGACAAAGGCAGCTATAGCTTCAGGTCTGCCCACTAATCCTTCCAACCAGAGCTCGGCGTTTTGACGTTCCTTCGAGCTTCCGTCTTCTCCTCTCCCTCAGTTTCTCGGCGCATTCTCCGAGTACTAGTCGGAGATTAGACCACAACATATCGGCCACTACCAAACTCGACCGCAAGCCGGGACAATTCAAGGCTGGCTCTCGCGAAGGTCGTCGCCAAGCCAACACCGGCGCCAACTCCTGGAACCCCACCACAGGAATGCTGGTCTCTCTGCGTGGCAGGGAAATTCGGCCGGCTCGTCTGCAAGTCGGGCACGCAGAGAGCCCTCGCCAGGCGCTAGAGACCGGCCTGCTAAAAGTCAGCAGCCCATAACGGCCCCCGAAGACCACCGTCGCGAGACCACCGCCAGGCTTAACGCACTTCACCTTCTTCAACCACAACGTCAACCACTCACCCTCGTTCGTAAGCTCCCTTTGAACCATAATCACCTTTCTTTTTAGATTCATCCGTAGAATACCATTTCGTCGTTTTTGAACTTGGCGCCGCAGGTCTTCACTATATGGGCGACTTGTCTTTCGGTGGCGCCGCGACTTTCCTGAGCCGAAGTAAAATATCTATCTACCTGTCTATCCTGGGGCTATTATCCGAGTCCTCAGAGAATAGTCAAAAACACGATGACTGAATTTGTTTCCTGCTTTTATTGTCAACCATCCATCACTTAATTTTATATAAGAAGAAGCTGCTGTTTGACCACTTTGCTGGTTTTAAAGCAGACTGGCCAGCTCAAATTTTAGCTTGCCCAGCTTAAACCTGCTTGATTGCCAGTTATACCAGTTTGACCACATTGACCAGTTTGACCAGCTTAGTTACCTGCTTGACCAGTTAGATTTTCGAGCTGTTTTTTTTTTTTTCAATAGGGCTATACTCCGTTTCAGACTAAATCCTATCACAGTCTACGCTAGGATCCAATGTAGCCAGTCAGACAGCTACTAAAGAGCATCGTCAGGGCGCTCGTTGTCTTTGTGCGCTTGGCGGAACGGGCTAAACCGATTGGTAGAGCAAGTCGTCTCCTTCTTGAGGACGGGTTGCGGTGGCACCAGAACGGCGCCGGGTTCTGATTGGCTTTGATTGAAAGGATAGTGGGTAGACCTCAATGCTAGATGCCTCGAGGTCTACACACTATTTCTTTAAATCAGCCAATAAGAGCTCGGCGTTCTGACACCATCCTAACCCCGCTCAAGAAGCAGACGACGCTCGCTCCACAGTAAGCACACAAAAAAAAAGCGCAGGATGACGCCACATTCACTGAGAGTGATTTGTTAAGCCAGTAATGTACAAAGGCGACAAGCGCCATGACACTTTTGGCGCTGCCTGATCGACTCTATTGTGCTGGACGAGCTCGGGTGCTTAATATGAAATGCACACCGCATTTCACATTAAGCACCCAAGCTCGTCCAGCACGATAGAGTCGATCAGGCAGCGCCAAAAGTGTCATGGCGCTTGAGAAGCGTTCACAACATTTTTGTAAGAATCAAAAAATTCAAAGAGAAAGGTTTAGCTCGAATATACGAATTTTCTCCCTAGTTCTTGCCTTACTCGTTGTATTTGAAAAAGTGACTGGGCCGTGTGCCGCCAATGTCCACGTCCGAGCCCGGCCAAAAGAAGGTGGCGGCTTGCTTGCCCTGCTTCTCCGTGGTCACCCAAATCTGCACAAGAGTTTCCCACATAGAGCTGTAATGGCCGTACCTTCCGACCATAACTTATCAAATAGCTTATAAGAATAAGTATTTACAGGTTCATTGGACCTGTGGACGAAACTACGAAGAGACTTCCTTTGCTCCGCAAGAGGTTAGCCTCGATCTTATTAAAATGTGGCCGCACCTTCTGATCAGGGAATATTTCCAGTGTTGGTGAGAATTTGTAAAACAATACTAGGTTAAAGAGTTCAGTCTAGCTGGGAATACAATTTATTGAACTTGCTAACTAAAAATGTAAGTGTTGTGTAGGTCTTTCTGCACGTGCAACAACCTGACTGGAACTCTGCGCGTGTAGAGCATGAGACGGCATGAGCCGTCTTGTGCACTGGTCCCTGTCTTCTGCCAGCTAAAGTTATGGCGGCGTCACGCATGAGCCGAACGCTTGGTGAGATGGGTCAAATAAAATGTATTAAATTAGAATAATAAGTTTCTAAGCCTTAAATGTACTGGACTATACTGTAATTCAGGAAGAATTGGGGGGAGGGGGGAGGGGCTGGAAACCAATCTCTCAAGATATGTAACTCGGTAATCAATCAAAGTGTGCACCAAGAAACTGAGGGAGAGAAGGAAACAAGAGGCGCGGGGAAGTCAGACTGCTGAGCTTGGGTTGGAATGATTAGTGAGTAGACCAAAAGCTTGCTGCTTTTGTCTCGACTGAACTTCCCGAACGTGTTAAAACATTCGCGTCTGGCGTTTGGCTTTCGCATTCGAACGCGTTCTACAAGTGCAGTGGACACGAGTTCCAGTTGAGCTTTAGGTCTACCCACTAAGTGCTTAATCATTCGAACTACACTCGGCGTTCTGATGTCCCCGCGCCTCGTGTCTCCTTCTCTCCCTCAGTTTCTCGGCACATTGGTTTAAAACAAGAACCGCACACACATATAAGGTCTGCAAAGTGATACAGGGTTATACGGCAAATACGTCGTTATGTATTTGGCCGTAAGATTGTGGCAGTTTTATATGATTAACAAAGTTTACAAAGTACCTATCTTTAGTTGACTTTGTAGTATTTTTAATTTACACATTATAGCACGATTATTTTAATAATTCGAGCAGAGCTTTCAATCGCCACCGCTTTGTGACCATCATTCAAAGCCTCTCATCGAGTTAGTTCAGAATTATTGCTGCATAAGCTTGCGCTGCGTAGCCTCGGTCCGCTTCTAATGTGCATGCTTTAATAGCTATCTGAGCGATCGCCATAACCCTGTTCATGGTTTTGGTACGTGCTCCAATGGGTTTATTGTAACTTCCATTGTGCCCCAACTCCAAGGCTCGGTCTTGGGACCGATTTTCGACCCTTTGTTAATAGACGATATGGTTCAATGTACTAAAAGTAATAACTATTTTGTCTGCTGATCATGTAAACCTTTTCTAAGAGTTCAGTCGGTATCTGATTGTTCTCGTCTTCAAGCCTATAATGATTTTATTTTTAAAAAGTGTTCAGAAAACTATGTCACTTAAGCCCCAGAAGACAAAATCTATGGTGCCATCAGAAAGCGTGATGTCATTTGCTTTTCTTACAGCCTTGGTGGCGTTTCCATTGCACCGGTATCTCTCATCGGGGATCTTGGCGTCTCTATCTAAATTTCTTTCAAAAACTACATCATTATAAGCGTGAAGGCTCTCTTAAGAGTGTAAGGTATGATTTCATGATTATGACGTCAATTATGTTCTCTTTCTTTACTACATTTTTATGTTCCTATAGTTAAATCAGGGTTGTTGTTTAGCTCTGTTCTCTGCAATTCCTTGACTCTTACGCAGGCCACTAGATCGAAAATGCCCACAAACAAATAATTAGACTTTTGTATGATAGTTATGGACAGAGAGCATTTCTACCATTACAAATCATTGCTACGCCGGTTTACATTGCATAAGGTGTTTTGGAGGAGACGGTACAGAAATTTCATTTCTTTTGCACTAGACAGTCTGTGGAGCAGACTGCCTAGTGCAATGTAAATTTGATGCATTTATACCAGTCTAAATATTTCCATCTTCCCACCCATGTCAGCCGGAACAGATCCAATTTTTCTCAGCTTGTTTATCATAGGCGTCACACCTTTAGTAAAGGTACCTTTGTTATGTTTATCTCCAGACGGGATTTCTTCGGCATGTACGAGAATGAATGCCTTGCATGTCAACATGGGCAATATCTTATTTATTTATTATTTGGGTCTCTTGCTTTTGAAATATAATGATTATAATGCAATTAAATTCGAAGGTGCAAGCAAGCTAGAGAAGAGTGACGAAAATAATCTCTGGAGAAGGGGAACATAAGGGCAATGGACAAACACAAATCCGATATACTTTAATTTTTATATGTACAGCTTCCTTATGGGTACAGCGAAGAATTAAAGATTATTATAAATATTATTATCATGAACCAAAAACTGACAGTGGCAAATAAATTAACTGGAAGAACCGCGGACTCTTAAATGCCGCAACCCCGTGTTTTGAATCTTTATTAACAAATTAACGGTGCTTCTCCAGGGACATATTAAAGTTTCTTAAAGGTTATCGACTTATTTCTGAAGGCGGAACATTGCTGGTGGTATTATATTGTGTTTTAATTCACGACTTTAGTGTAACGCAGGCTGCGCAAGAAACTGATAAAGCCGCCACGACTGCCCAGTGTAAGTACGATTATATTTTGCTTGCCGATATTTCAGGCTCACACTATCCTACTTGATTTAAGTTGAGCAAAGAAAGTGTTCAGGCAGTTTCAGCCCTCGAAGAGGCCATCCGTCTAAGAAAAAGGCAAGGCAGGCCATGGTCATAGGCGACAAGTCCGATTTTAGGGTTTTACGTGCCAAACCACGAATGGCATCTGCCACGCCCCACCCGGAGGAGGCCTGAGAATTATTTTAGACCACCTGGTGACATTTTGATGTGAAACAGAAATGTCGATTACGTGGCGCCTTCTCTGTAATAAGCCTCCGTCATCTTGCGGGCACCTTGGGTGGGATTCGAACCCGCCACCTGCGGATCCGTAGGCCTGAGTTTTGCTTCCAAACCACCGAGGCGGCGAAGTGGGCAGATTACGGCTGTCGTACTGAAAACGACTGCTTACAACATCGTATCATTGCGTCCGTCGTGCGACACATTTGAGTCGTAGAACTAAATTTATTTTGTGGTTTTGTTCACAGTTCTGTATGAGGCTGTTCTTTTGTGTGCTCATGTGCAGTCATCGTACATTTGGCCGCAAGTCTGGTAAGTTTTGGTTTCCAAAGACTAACGTTTTCACGTTCTCTGCAATACAACCAACGCTGAATACAGCCCTCTAATAGTTTTGGTTGCATCTAACAGTCCTGGACAAACATGCACTTAAAGCCGCATAGTTTCACAAGAACTCATAGCAAGCTGGTATGTTTGAAATGTATAAGGGGGCTTCTCCAAGGTCTTTCTTTTCATGTTATATAAAGCTCTGAATATTCTGGGCCTTTTCTGCACCGTGATAGTGCATATAATTTTGTTTTCAATTTAAGCTATGCAAGTTTTACTGTCTCCAACTTGGCCGACGGCCGAAGACCTGGGTTTGGTCTTTGCTACAAACCTCCATTTATTTGCCTGCAGCTTCTCCCAAAGCTTTTTTACCGCATGTTTTAAGACTGTCTTCATATACATAACTCCAGCACCAATCAGTAAAATTCAAATTGGCTGTATGCGAGTGCAATCGTGCACGTTTGCGTGTAAGCTGCTGCAAGTTTTAGGCTGATATAAAGTTCGACTACAGATGTTCCTGATTATGGTCCTGTGCTTGCTGCGAAATGACACAATCATTTTCAGCTTGGTAGTGAGTTTTTAAGCAGTATTTTGAGCTGCTTTACGTACTTTGCTGCGCTGCAGCAAGGTGAGCAATAAAAAAATTACATATTTTTGCTGCTATTTTAATTTATAATTTTAATAAGTCAGGCTTGTCAGTATCTGCTTTATTAGAGAATTGTCCTCTATAACCTGTGCATTATATTGAAGCACCAACATTCGCCACACTAACGGCCATTATAACATTGGGACAAACATTACTGATGTAACAGCAACAAGCGTCATTGTCTGGTTTTGCAGATCCTTCGCTGGTCCGTCGCATCGTCCATGACAGCTTCTCCACATCGTGCCCAGTTACTCAGTGATTTTGTTGTGCATATAAAATTATGTATGGCAACAAAATAAGGTTTATTTTTTTCTTGAAGTGCATCTGCTAGGGCTCCGCGGACCTTTCCTTCTCTGGCACCAAAGCCAGTGCAAAATCTAAGAACAACGGTTGTTTATCAGAGATACTATTAATAAAGTTTTACTTGTTTCAAACGAGACCATTATGTGCCTATGTGTTTTCACTCTAAAAGCCATAGTGAGAAGGTGTAGCCGACTATAAAAAGATATGTAATGTCCAAAAAAGTAAAAAAAAAAAAACATACATTGTGTAACATACCACTGATAATCGTCGCTGTTTTACCTGGGACGTTTTCAGAATGTGATTAACACATTCATGGGACATTTCTAACATCCCGATCTGGACATCCTTAAGATGTCTGCCGGATGTTTGTATGTTGTATAAAGCGCGCGCGCTCTAGAGGCGGAGCTTTTACTGCATCTTTCATCGTGCGACCGACATAGAAATAAAACAGGTTGGTTTCCCTTTTTATATTTACAAAAGTCACGATCAGGTGTTAGTTGGGGGATACTAATTCTATTCTAATTCTAATTCTATATACTAATTCATTAAAATAATTTTTTTTCTGTTTCTATATTTATTAGAAATATCCGAGCAAAGTAACGTGAAATTAACTCGTTATGTAAACAGCAAAGTGATACACTACTCTTTAACGCAAGTATTTAGTAGCAGTGATTCATCAAGACTAGGTCATTTTGAATTCACATCTATTATATTCTTAAAGTAACGGGCACAGGTCACGACGCAAGGAGCAGCACGCCAATCAAACGATAACGCAGAGAACTTGCAGGCAGCGCGCAATGACGTGATAGCCAAGCGCGAGCTGTCATTGGTTAAAGGGAAGCTACGGAGGTTCTTGAAAAAAATGAGTTAGAAGTGAATTCTAGTGGGTTTTTACCTTATGAACCCGAATACCCAAACCATTTGCCGCGCAAGAATTGTTAAACGCGAGAAAAGGCGAAAGACATTTGCTCTCCGTGACGTCATCGACGGGTCTTTTGGCTGCCCAAGGCTAGGGAGGCGGGGCTTCAGCCCTATTTTGAAATTACTCTTATAGCTCTCCGGCGCGTCGCATTGAAATTTAATTCTGATATCTGTTATTGTAACGGCCAAATGAACACGATTAAAGTGCGTTTCTTTTTCTCAAATGCAGAACCGCCCCATCTTCCCTTTAAGGTCGAGGAAAAACAAAAATTACGGAGGCACCTCTGGCAGATAAACAGACGTATGACGTGCACAAGAATCAGACAAACTTGTATGTCGAATAGATCATTCCAAAAATTCGCCTTCTGCGTGCTGCCATCTTTGTCTGCTGACTTTGGAAAGAATTTTCAGCACAGTGTCGTCTGCAGGATATCAGACGCCGCGCAAGCATTCACAGGCCAGCGACTCGACAGCCTTGACATTTGCGCTGGAAAAATGTACGCAATTTATTTTCAATAAAAGTCACGACTTCTAGGACGAATGCAATAACGGATGATGTTTGTGAAGACGCGTGTAGTTCTTAAAGAGACCATGAAATGACCTTTTTTACTTTTTCCAGATAACTTTTACATTAAACCGTCAATGTTCACTGAATGCCGAACAGGCATCCGTTTTCGTCTCGGTTTATTAACTTCTACACAAAAAATTATTGAAATATCGACTTTTTCATTCTCTCCAACTGACCGCAAAACAAGCCGTGACGTAGGCCGTTTCCGGAACCGGAAGTTCTCTCGGCAGTAGGAGAATGGGAGTGTTAGCGGCAACGAGTTGGGGTGCGCCGGTAGGTTTTACTGCGCTGATGTCACCGACGTATTTCCTGAATCAGCGCCTCTCATCGCCGCATCGCAGCTGAGCGAAATTCAATGAGATATGTTGCGCTACAGCGACAGCATGGGACTAGTCCCATACGCCGGTATGCCTGTTGGGAAGTGCAGCGAGTCTTCCGGTGAAGACTCCAGAAGTCAACCACCCTGTCATTGTTGGCAGAAGGGCCGGCCCGTGTCAGTCGTTTGCAAAACGACGTAGATCGCGTTTTTCGCGGCCTCGCAGATGCAGGAGCGAGCCGACGTTAAAAAAGATACGTTTGAACTACGAGTGTCAGCAAGAGCCACGTAAATACCTGTTTCCACTCGGAGCGGACGCGCGCGCTTGATGGAAGTGCTATATTCTCGCTGTTTGTAAGCGCTTCGGGACCGTTCTTTTACGATTGCAACTCGATACTGAGCCGACACTCGGCAAAGAAAGGTTGGACCGGGGTTGTACGTATACCTCCCACGAACTGTTATAGCTCGACAGTGACGTGCAGTCTGTCAGAATAAAAATGGCATACCAATAACAAAGTGTACATACCGTGTTACGAAGGTAATCCATGCGGCGTTTATTTCAGCTCTATATCACACAAAACAAGAAGATAGAATCGACGAGAGTCCCTTTTCGACGAGTGTTCGTCAACACTGCCTCGGAAAACAAGGGGAAGAGATTGACCTCACCTCTTAATCTAGAATTGAGGTCAGCGATCAAACTATAATACGGGAAGGGTCCACAAGGGTCGCGCGGGCATATTCCATTTAGCACGCGAGCCGGTCGTAGGCAGACGGTCTTGCGACGAAGCAACGCAGCGCCGAGTCGGAATGCCTGCTAGGCCTATATTCTGAGCAGCTCGCTTCGTCGGAGTCGGTGGATCCAGCGTTCTTGTTCGTCGTGGTCTGTTTTAAGTACTGTTTTCTTGCTGCTTGAAGTCGGCACGCGCGGGAAGAACACGTAGAAAAATAAACGTTCAGTCAGTCAGAGTTTTGAGAGGAAGGAAAACAAAGAAAATAAACGTTCGTCAGCTGGTCGTGGTCGCCGCCCCCCAAGTAACTGTCGGCCCTGCCCGAATGCGCACGCGCAGTAGTTGCTTCGTTTACCACACGATAGATGGCGCTTGGCTCTCAGCATTATCAAATTTGGCAATTTTCGCCACACATCTCTAATTATGCTACAAAATGTGGATCTGAATATTATTTAACAAAACTTTTAGGAAACATTCGCCGGCTATTTATTGTTTACGATCGCGGTGCTGGTGAGGTAGGCTGTTACCCAATAGGCGATGTGGATTTGGCTGGCGTGCTCCATTTCCGCGGATGCATCGTAGTGAACAGGCGAAGGAAGGAAGGCGCAAAAGAGTCCAGTTTTCTTTTAAAAGTTATATAGCAAATAATTTTTTTGGCTCCCTATTTTTGTGTTTTTGTGTTCCTTTTCACACCTTTTACGACGTGCGGTGGATGAAACTCGATTTTAAAATCATTTCATGGTCCCTTTAAAATGTCCCTTAAAATATACGCAGGCATCTGCATATATCGAAGACTGTTCGTACAAGGTCTCCTGAGTATGTTCACAAGCTGAAGAACAAAACCCCAACTCGGTCGGCTTTATTAATTTCATCTGTTGTGCTTGTTGACTATACATCTTCTGGTGCTCTATCATGTTTCTAAGTTCTTCCTCCCTTGGCTTTGCTCTAATTTTACCAAGTTGGCCAGCTTCTGTGCCACGATACTTAAAATGTTTTTTGGGCGAGAACTGCCGTGCATGACTGACAAGCCTTTCCTATGGACAAATCGCCATTGCATTTCTTTTAATTTCGAATGCATTAGTTTTACTTATTCAAACTAGGAATTTGAAGACTCGTTAGATGCTAGCCACAATGTACACAGTTTCCTGTTTTCAGAAAGTGTATAATTACGATTTTGTCAAAAAGCTGATTGTATTGACTTTGCTCACTGGCGCTGATGTTTAAATGAACAGTAGTATTCTTAACTTAAGTATTCTCAAGTAAAAACAAGTTAAAATAATTTTTTAATAAAAAGAAAAACATCGTGTTTGTGTCTTGTTATTATCTCTTCTGCACTGTGCTTTAATTTGCGGTTTATTTAATGCGTGATTTTGGTGTGACAGCTTGGATGGATTTAAAATAGTGTAATGTTAGATCTTCATAAAAGTAAAATGTTAAAGTAATATAACACGAGCTGTATGATAAAGGGATATTACACAACACACTGACAATTATGTAAGCCTGTAATTACGAAATCGTTTCAAAATGTAACAGCTGAATGAGACGCAGTTCGCAATTTTTAACAGTTTACTTCCCTACCAAACAATCCAGTATAACCTTTTACTATCCGGATTATGGAACTGGAAATTTTTCTCTGGAAACCCGAAATCCAGATTGCAGACAAAGGAATAATTTCTGAAAACCTAAAATCCAGATAAAGTCCAGATAGAATCCAGATAGATTTCCGGTTCCATAATCCGGATAGCGAAAACTTATACTAGATTTTCGGTAGGGTTGCCAACTCTCGCCGCACGACAGGGACAACTTTAAAAGACGGAAAGGTTGCAGTTCCCATTGGACCGGTTGCACATGTGGCCGATAAGACGAGGACCCTATCTCAGTATTTCGGTCGAGGGAATAAATAATCAAATTTTACATGATATCCTGCCAATATTACGAGGGTAAAATGCAGCTCTGCGGTCCCCAGGCCGCTCCTAATATTCAGACCGTTTACAAACGGCTCTGCAGCTTACGAGTAAATGTATATGCTCCACTTTCGAGGTAGCGTATAGCAATATTAAGCCGTCCTATGTAGAAGTATTATTGAATGTCCTTGCAAAAGACGCGGCGGCGAGCGGCGGTATCCTGGCGTTAACGCTTCCCCACGGCAGTTCGGAAGCGCTTGCGAGTACCCGCAATGTCTGCCTCATCGACAGCCACTTTAAAACATACCTGGGGTTATAAATAAAGTGCCATCGTACTAGCCCACACAATGCTCATAGTTTCGAGAAGCTGCATTCTCGTCAGACTTCGTGTAAGATTTGCATTGCGCTAAAGTAGTGAAAAATGTGTTTAGCCTAAACCTCGGTGCTCTGCAAGGCCACTTGTCCGCAGTACCTTGGACACTTTTGGTGCTTGTGCTCACTTCCTCTCCAATAAGAAGGGGATGTCAAAAGGGAACGGGTAGGCGATACCTTGATTCGGCCGTTCAGGTACTCTGCAGCTCACCGGTTCCGCCTGCTACCAACGGGATTTGCCCGCCTCCTTGTTGCCCAGCGAGAAGAGTGTCTTGAATTCCGGGTCGTACATCTTGTTGTCCACGATGCCATGGGACTCCGGCCACAGGCCCTATGCATCCGTGCAATCAGAAAACAAAAACACGCAACTTTGGTCATGCTGACAAAAGACCGGGGGACAAAATTTCTTGAGCGTAATCCACCACCACGCGGAAGAACCTAGCGGAAATTGACGTCACGTTACATGATGTAGCCTGACGTGGTTACGTCACCTGCGAATAATTTCCCCGCTATATTTAGTGAGATATTTGACACGACGGTTCTCCGTGGTGGTTCTTTGTGACCCTCTTTCATTACGGATTTTTTATGAATTTTGCAAATAAAACGCACTCTGCCTAAAAACAGATCGTATATATATAACCCGATGGCGCTCTAAATGCATCGCACTTATATATCCTCTGTGACGTCGCGGTATTACCTGACGTTACGATGCGATACCATATGGCACTATGACGTCAGTGAGTCATGTGACATCACAATGCACTTGACGCCACTGCATCTTATGGCGTCATGGTTTCACGTGACGTCAATTATCGCGTGAAGTCGTGGCGTCACGGTCTCACGTGACGACCGTTACACTGATTGTGTTACCTGAGCACCATGACGTCATCACGATGTTCATGTGATGACGCCACGTAAAATCCTTTAAAAAGCTGATGACGTCACGTGAACACCATAATGTCTTCAGCATGACGTCACCGTCGAGGCTACAAACCATGGACACGAAGGCGCCAAGAGCTGGCCCGATAGATGCTACGCAATTTAAAAGTGCGGAAATGGCACCCACCGTTACGATGGTGAAATGGTTAGGGAACGTCTTGGTGGGGAAGACGGGCCGCATGAAGGGAGCCCGCACGCCGCACTGGCCTAGCCGCTCCAAAGAAGGGTTGCGGCCCCGGTCCAGGTAGTCGGCCCGAAAGCCATCCAGGGAGATGAGCACCAGCGGTGCCTCGCCGAACCTGCGCTGCAAGTCACTTCCTAACTGTCGAGCGCAGAACTGCAGGGCCCCTCCTTGTGGAAAAATTTTAAATCTACAGCAGCATCGCCTCCTTAAGCATATCAACCAGGTTCAACTATTTGGCTTGACTCCCGGTAAACAGCTTGATACTGCGGTAAAGTAACACATCGTAGACAAGAGCGTAGTCCATAATTTTCACGTCAGCCAAAGATGTCAGAGTAGTGCTTACTCGCGTGCTAAATCAAGTTTTATTGGCTGCTCACGCCAATATGAAGCGATCAAGTTATGATAATGCCACCCTATTCAGGGCTCTCAGGTAAGTACCTTTTACCCCGAGAGTTCGGTTGAACCCCACTGCTGAAGAGATGTGCTCGCTCAGGACACAGCTGTAAATCCGAAGTTTGGTGTCAGATAGAGATCCGTCGCCAAGCAATAGGGCTGAGTTAAATGTCGGATGCGGCGAGAGTTTTCAGCATGGTGAGTCTTTAATTCTGCCAGGAACTTTGGACATGTCCCCTGGAAGTACTCGGCCCTATCTTGAACACCGCAGAGGTCGCAGTCGTGGCGGTCCTTTTTTTTTCAAACAAGAATAGTAGTGGTGCCAAGTGCACCATTGCCATTCCGGTTGAGTGAATGTAAAAGGGGGAATCGCTGGGCGAGTGCGTTAGCGCAACGCAGTTTGGAACACGTGGAGCTCGAGCTTGAGCTAAATGACCGAAGAATCCTGGGTTCAATCCTCACCCCTGCCAGTTTCGATCGCGATGAGCATCGTACCGGCGTGCGGTCGTGTATTCTACTTTGTGATGCACATGAAATACCCTAGGCTGGCGGTAGAACTGCATTCATTAAATTTGTTATCTGCAGCGCAACCTTCTTCAAAAACAGACCGACCTTCAAAAACAGATACTTCAAAAACAGTACTTCTAAAAAAAAGTATCTGAAATACTTCAGATACTTCAAAAACAGATACTTCAAAGACAGACCGACCTTACGCTGTCTAAACACGAACGCCATTTTCATATACAAAAACAAGCTTCGCGCAGGAAGTGACGCTCAAAATATGGCGACCATATATTGTGCATCGAACAGACCCACAAAAGTGGATTCAACGCAGCCCCAGATTATAATGTAATTTTACAGATTTCGGCTGCGCGAACTGCTCCAAGACGTCGCTCACCCTTCTGGACAGGTCTCGTCTTCTCCTATGCACGGCAGTCGCTGCCATCCGGAGTCAAACAACTCCTCTGAAATGAGTGAAAATTAAATATGCATCTCTGAGATCCCAGTCGGGGGCATGGCATGTGCGTGCTGTCGCATTCGTTTGATGGTGTAATGATGTCCCAAAAACAACCTCTCGTTAAAGAACCAACTTCAAGTGGGTATCAATCTTAAAAATTGTCATTATCACCATTATGTTTGAAACGAACAAGCTGTTCTACAAGATTTGGAAGAAAAACTAATTGTTATTACATAACAGCATTTCTCAATAAGCTAATTTCTAGTATTATTAATATAAGAAAAAATACAGACTGAAGAAAGTTCCGAGAAATGTTAGCTTGCAAAGTGCACATTAGTTTGCTTTTTTTTATTTTTTTTTTCGTGGATTTTTTTAACAATTTACATGACTCCTTTTGCATACGACTTATTTCACCGATTTTAAGTTGCTGCCAGTCAAGCCCAAAGTGCCTTTGGAAAATCCTTCACATTCGTTTTGTTCATTAGCAATAAAACTATTATTAGTATTAGTATTATTATTATCGTCACCACCACAATCGGTTTCTTTAACGCACTCTTTATTTGAGCAATTGTCTTTATGATGACGCACAGAAAGAAAAAAAACATTACACAATTCGAGATTTCTATGCCTGCTGAATGTCATTATAAAATAATCTATGCGCGTCATCAAACTGGCTCAGATTGGTCAATTAACAAAGTAGCAACAAAATTTAATAGAAAATGATAATGTAAATCCAGAATCACTTATATAAAATGTAAGTGAAATTAAAGTCATCTAGACATTTAACAAACTCGCTGACGTATGTACAAACTAAAGAAATACTGAAGTGAGCTTCAAGTATACGGTGGGCAACTGACACTTCCATTAATTTGAACCGCCTTTGGTTTATTAAATAACAGGCTGAAGTTGAGCTAGTTGGCACATAATTAAAAAATAAACGGTCAGCTAAATGGTAGGGACCAAACACAGACAGGGAGAAACAGAAACATACATACACACCGCTGACTATCAACTAAGACTTTAAACTTCTTCATCACTTTGACCCAAAGATTCACACCTAAAGTAATGCCAATAAATCACTTAAAATCGTTACATTACTCTACTAAATTAAAGCACTAAATAAAAATAAAGTAAATTATATCAATTACATTAAATTATTAAATTTAATGCAATTAAATTTAATAATTTAAATACATTACGGCCCCTTGAAAGTGAATAATAGGGATATGTGTCGACGGTGGTTTGTGGGTTGGGTCAGGGAGGTGTTAGTGACCAAATTTAATCATTTAATGTAATTATTTTAATTTACTTTATTTTTATAAAATTGCACTAAACGACACGCTCTGAACGACACGCAGAACGCGCTGAACGACACGATCTGAGTTTTAGTTCGTCACAGAAGCCCTCACTGCAGTTCAAAGCAAAAGGTAGCACCAGACAGTACTCGGTAGAAGTGCTTCAAACGATGCGAATGTCCCACAGTAAAGGTCTTCTAACATATCGTCTGCTAAGCTCTGATGAGTTCAAAATACCGAACGACTCCACATTGACTCTCAGCAACCATTGTATCATTGAACCACATCACAGTTTACGCCCAACGAAGTCGCAATCCTCAACCCTCAATCAAAGAACATTTTTTTAAATAAGATTGGTATTCTACCGCTTTTGATATTTGCGCCCAGAATATTAGCGGTCATTCCCGGAAAACTCGATAAAAGTTCCATCGTGCAGAACAAACTCCTAAGATAAAGAATTGCAGTTTTCCCCGTTTCTCCCAAAGAGTTTCGTGCATTAGCTGGTGTCAAGCGATGGCTGCCGATGGTGCAGCTTGACCCTGGCAAGACTAGCGTCTATGCGCGACCCGCCTACTACAATAGAGGTCAGTGCTTCTGATAATCTTGATTTACCTTGGTGTTTACGTTCTTAGTCTGTTTGGCCCAAACGCTTGAATTTACATGGTAAATGTTTTCGGAAACAACGTTCTACCTTATGTTCCCTGATGGATCAAATTTGACTCCGCTTCAATCAAGTAATTTTTGGGGATATTGAGAAATTAATCCACAAGACTAGGGAAAATATACAAGAGAGACAAAAATAATTGTGTTCTGTGTGTGCTTATACAGACGGGAGTTAGCCCCGATTGGCGTTTAGTGTCTCAGCCGCAGGCGAGAAATTTAGCCAGTGCAGTACAACCGCGATTTTAGGGACTTAAACGCAGTAGTGAAACACAGCTGCACGCCAGTATGATGCTCATTCAGGTCAAAACGGGTAGGGGTGGGGATTGACACTAGGATCCCTGGGTTCTGCGGAGTCAGCTTTCGCTCTATGCACTCCGAGCTGGCGTTCACTAGCCTACTCGGCCACCGATTTCCCCCCGAGGCAGACAGGAAAGCACGACCTACTGCAATCCTGACCTGCCCACAGAAGAATGTGCCAGCGCGCACCTTGCAGTATATGGCCGCGGACGCAGCGTTTCTTCACGCTATAACTTCACGCTGCACAATTTTTTTTAATGTATTTGTATATCAATCGAAAGCACACCAGGCGTGGCGGCCTTATCTTGCCCTGACCTGCTCTACTCGCGCGCCTCGCCGGATCGAGCCGTCAGTCGGTGGTCTTTTGACAGTTTCGTCACTAGAGGCGCCGGCTGCCAGCACAGTGGCTATTTATGTCTGGTCCGAAAACGCGCCTTATTTCGACGATGGCACAAGAGCGTCATGGCTAAATAAGGGCCTTGCGCTGCAGTGCAAGAAAAACGCGCTCTTTCACCCCAAGCAAACATGAGAGCGATGCACCCTGCTACGTGCTACTGCTATTGCAGACTGCTGGCACTACTCTACGGCAGTACTTCCCGAAAAACAGATATCACCAGACGCGCGCCGTCCAGACTGTCCGCTGACAGGCTGTGAACCGCGTTTGGGTCGCAGAAAAGCCTTACCGAGCGCCTCCAATGGCAAATCAAGGCACTTCATCGGCAACAGCCTCTACCATTAGCGACGTGCGCGACCAAAAGCGTCGCTGCTGTTCGCTTTCCACGATTGGCCAAACCATGCATGCGCATAAGAGCATTATCAGACTGTCAACTTCGACGGTGTTAGTGTCGGAATGCAATGACTTCTAGTTTCCACCGTGCTTTTTAAACAGACCATCGAACTTGTCGTCGCAACTTATGGTAAGTAGCAAGGGTTACAACTCGTGACGTCACGCCGAGGCAAATCCAACGTTATTAGATTAGCTCAGTTACGGAACTGCTCATAAACGCCGCATGCACGAACACTACCCCCGCCCCCCTCACTCACCATGACTGGCCAAGCGTCACTTGACGCGCCGCCTGGCGGCTGCTTTCGTAACTGGATCAGGATACGTACGCTTCAACGTACTAGAAACGTAAAAAACAACGGAAAAAAACTCTTTTGGTAGTAGCTTTTATTGGAGTTTAGTACAAAATGAGGGGCACGTGATGTTTTCTAAAATCTTTAGTTTGCAAGGTTTTGCGGTACAATTAATATTGTTTTAATACAACCATGCCTCAGCGGGGATTTCAGGTGGCGCGTCCCGACCTAGGCTCATCTTAACTTCGAGGCAAATTCGCGGCGCGTCCGCTGGCGAGACGGGGGTGGCTTCCCTATCTGTTTCGGCTCCGAAATAACCGATTGAAGCCAAAATGGTTGTTACGTGCAGGTCCGCGAGTGACCGCTGCAGTATAATGGCAGCGTTGTGATCGTCTCTAGGCGCTTCAGCTGGGCTCTTTGTAACGCACAGACATGAAACGAAAATATAGATGGCGCTTCGAACGACGCTTGGCGGATTGAAGTGAGTGGGAGGGGGGGTAGGGGTCGAGGTCTGATTACATGGAAATGTAGCGCGAGGCCCAATCAATAGCCGAGAACACTCTAGCTCTCCCATTGACCAAAATAGGACTCCAGCAGCGTCTTCTTTGCCCGAGGGACTTACGGGAAATGTTAGCCGCCGCATCCCGGTTGCCCCTGGCCGAGTGCAGCCCGTGGAAGTAGCCCCCGAGAAAGGCGGACACCAGCAGTAGCACAGCCTGCGCGGCAGAACCCTCGTAGCGGCGGCAGACCCAGGTTCAGCGGCGCTACTTACCAGGACGCTCACCGCCAGGATCTTCCTCCACCCCTGGACAAAAAAAAAAAAACAGTCGACATCGGGGAGCACTACCAACGGCGGGAGACCATTCTATGAACATGCTAAACAATCTTGTTTGACCATCGCCATCTGCGGCGAGAGTCTCAACTCAACTGTATAGAAAAATTAGTATTATATGACCGCTAGTGAGCCCCTACTACAACCGCGATGTTTTTGTGCATTCCGGAAACTTGGTTCTCGGTTCTGCGAGTCATAAGAAGTTTATAACCCGCGCTAATGAAACTTTAATCTTCCTCGTGGCGGTCAGCTACGTATTACTTAACTCACCTATTTCACGAGTGTAGGTAAGCTGCATCTAAAGTAATTAGAGCTAGCGATAATTCAAGATGGCGGTGATGAAGGTGTCCCACAAATCGATTCAACAAGACCGCCCCCTTTCCCCAAAACAGGATCTGCCATAGACCCATAGTCCCCCTTAGGGTGAGACCTAGAGTAGACCTTTTCTACACGGGCGGTGCCATCTTGAATCACGAAACTCCCGGTATACGGGAAAACAGTGTTTTGCCCTTGCCTCAATTCTAGAAGGTGTTATAACGACTGTTAGCACTCATTCTTGTTTTTCCTCTTTTATAGTTTATTTTTGCTCCTTCCACATTGTAATGACCTCGTTTCTTTTTTCCTCTCGCATACCAGATATGCCGACACCGCGCCTGGGGACCAGGGTAAGCGAAAACACCAACGTCCGGCCCTGACACCACGCCGCTGCGGGGGCGCTGCTGTCGGTGCTGTGCATGAGCAGACGTTTCACTTTCCGTGAATTTCATTCCCGTGCACAGGCTATGCCCACACTTGCTGTGGCCAAAGGCGGACGTGTTTTGTAAACTGCGCGTTACTCTACAAAGTTCACCAGGAATACTGACTTCAATCCCCACCCCTGCCCATTTCTGTTTGAATTAGAATTTCTACCGGCAAGCGGACGTGTATTACTGGAGATTTTTTGTAGGTTGTTCCGATGACACTGCCGACGACTTGGTGGATGCGACGTATGTCCGAGGGATCGGAACCTCCCCCCCAATTATATTAAAACTCTCTACTGCTATCTGATGCACTTTAAATTCCCCAGGCTAGCGGTGGTGCTGCACTAACAAAATGGTATCATCCAGAGCGGGTAGACCAGACACTCATCGATGCTGACTACCTTTCCCCCATCTAAACATACACGTCACGTGACAAGGCAAGAGGCGAAGCAAGCGCCACGGTGCGTGTTTCCTCCTCACCCACATGGGAGGCCGCTCCTCTTCCATGTCCACGCGGTCCACGTCGAAGTGAAACTCGGCGCTGTTCAAACCAGTCCTTCCTGGCCGGTATCCAGGCTCGCGTACTGCACAGCGGAGCGGCAGGGGACATCGCGCGTTCATATTAAATTCCCCCAATAGACCAACCGCGTAGTCAGTACCGTATATCTGCGAAAAAAATGTTAAATTCAAAGACGAAATCCAAGGATGAAATCCAAGGACGAAATGATTATTCGGGCCTCTATAGATGCTACCTCTCCATAACATTGTCACGAAAAAAAAAAAGAGAAACGCAAAAACTTTTAGCCTTTCTACTTTTGTGAAGAAGGAATACCTGCGAAGCTGTACTGCGGTGGGAATAAAGTTATGGCCGGCCGAAAGTCGGCAAGCTAGAGTGGAAAGGTAGGGAGGCTCAAGTGAGGGTGGGTGCAACTGTTAGATCGGCGATCACGGGACATGGACGCCATTTAATTGCTAAATTTTGCTGGGAGTCTATGGGGCAAAGGGTCGTTTCCTTTCCTAACTCAGGTCATGGGGGCCCATTAAGGTGCTTGAATAATTTACGCGAGGTGTAAATGATTAATTTTCCATAGCCACCACTTTTGTTGCGATAGGTTAAGTATTTTTTAACGCGAAAAAATGGTAAATTCCGCCATCTTAGACGTTGCTGCTTGTCTAGCAACCCTGCTTTCTCCTCTCGACGTTTACCATTCTCGGAACGAGAAGGAAACGAGAGAGGCTGCGCCAAGGCGCTCGTTGCTTGGAATGGGAGGCGAGAGGAGGAAAGGCGCATGGAGCAACAGAGCTGCAACAGAGCGTGCGCCTGCTCTCGTGCAGGCCACACTGGCGCATATCCTTTCTCGAATCCTCTCTCTCAGGCGCCGCCATTAAATTGCCAACGCTCTTCAAGTTTTCAGTTGCGTTCACCCTCGCTTGAGCCTCCCTATGGAAAGGCTCGAAAGGTGAGCGACGGCGGCAAGCGGACAACCGGCAAACACAACGGATGGATGGATGGATGAATCCGGCTGAGCCCTTTGGATCGGGCGGTAGCTTGCGCCACTTAGCCTTTTGGTTTTACCATTTAAGCTTAGAATAGTTACATGTAAAAACTATGTTCACTCCGCACTAAAAAAAAGTGAGGCTATAAAACACCCTTGCTATCAGTTAATAAGTAAATACCTATTTTTCTCTCCCTTTCTGCCACCATTCACTTAATCTTTGCTTGGTAATCTCTACCAGAGTGTCGAACCGGAACCGAACCGAAAACCGGAACAGAGTCATTATTTTTAGCCGAACCAGAACTGAACCGAACCGAATTTGCCACCATCTTGGAACTGAACCGGAGCAGAACCGGGAGAAAATATAACGGTAACTGGTTCAGAGCGGTTCACGGTTTTTTTTTTTTTTTTATTATAAAATAAGTATTTTAGAAGTAAAAGTTAGCAGCTGTATTTCTATGTAGTGATCAAATTGTCACATACCGAATCACAACGTATGAGAAATAGTGTGTTTTCGTGGCGCTTTTGTATTGGCACTACGATTAATCGTGTGTCGCGTTGTCGCGCGACGTCATGGTGACAAGACATGCTGTCAAATAATGTCACGTCACGTGGCCCCGCGACGTAATCGCGTGACTCACCGCGTCAAGTGGACTTAAATTCAGCACGTGAATATAGTCCGTTGCAACTCAAGAAGGTAGGCCGAGGGAAAGGAAGGCCGGGGAGGAGGAAGCATGCGGAACGCTGGAAAGAGGAGGAGGTTCCACTCTCTTCTCCAGCGTTTCGTCTGCTTCTTCCTCCCCGGCCGTCTTTTGCCTTGTCTACCTTCTTGAGTTGCAACGGACTATCGATGTATTAGCGTCGTTGACACCGTAACATCACATGCCATCCGACTTCTCACAGCGAGTCATGTAACACCGTGACGCACTTGATTGTCATGAGCCCGAGTCGAGTGCTCGGGTTCTTGACAATCAGCATCGCCAAACATTAGCGTTTGCTTGTGTTCAATCAAGGATGAGAATAGCCAAACTCTAACAATGTCTAAAGTTCAACCCATGCTTTATTCTTTGCCAATTCCAGCGCATGACTATGATGAACACTGGCGGTATACAATTAGCGTCAGATTACATCGCCGCTTATTCTAATAGCAAGTTGAAGAGGGGAAAGTTGTTTCTTCCCTTTATTCCTTCTTCGTCTGCTATTGAGCGGAGACGAAAATTAATGAGCGTTTTTGCAAGCTGTCAACGACAGGGATTACCTCTTAGCGGTGTTTACTGGAAATACAAAAATTGTTGCATGAACCATTTTACATGTACACATCATTGAGGCACTCAAACATGTTTTCGTTGTTGCTGAACTGTCTGAGAAAGTTTCCCCCGAGAATAGAGGCATTGAAGGGACTAAACATGAATTATTAATCTTACGATAAATGTAACTATAATTGTGTACGGCAGAGATACTTGAAAAGAAAGATCGTAGTAGCCTTTGAGGGACAGCCGAACGTCGGCAGCCGCTCAAAATCTCACAGTCTTCTTTAAATTTCACAGTTTTCGGGTGCAAAATAAAAGAAGTGGAGGGTTACTGTTAACAGACGACACAAATATAATTGTCGAATCGGCACCCCAAACTGAGGAGGGAGTTTCTCAGATATAAAATGTATCCTATGGAGGAGCACCGTCAAATGAAAAGAGGGGGTGGGGGTTAAAAACACTGTGTTGTAAAGGTTCCTCTGCTCCGCATCTTCTGCACAGAGCAGACAGCGTGATCCAGCAAAACTACTTCGGTTGTAAAATCACTCCTGCCAGCGGATTTTTGGGGTGCCAGTCGCTCGCGCCGTTCTTCACGACGCTGCACCAAAAAAGAATATATTTTTGTTTCTGAATACATGAGTTGCACTGAGCGCGAACCTTCTGTAGAGTGCATATTGTACCACGGGATTTGATTTTCTCAGCAAAAAGAAATCTCTCACCACTATACTTCGTTTTAGCCTATGTACAGACGCAGCCGATGCTACAAGTGCGAGCATGCGGCCCTGCACAGTGTTTGCAGTGCACGAGCGCGCGTGCTTGGCAGGGACGCTGAAAGCCCGCAGATCGCGCTTGTAGCATCGGCTGCGTCTGTAGTTAAGCTGAAACGAAATATAGCATATAGTGCAATGATGTCACGTGCAAACCATGTTAAACAGTTTTCTGCTGAAATGTGGTGTTCTCAACACAATACTCCGTTTCACATTAGGTGTGAAAATAGCAGAAGCTCAAAGAGTGAGCTCCAGGCTTTCAGCGTCCAAGCACGCGCGCTCCTGCTGTGCAAGTGGTCAGGACCACATGCTCGCGCTTGTAGCATCGGCTGCATCAGGGCCCGTTTGTTCGAAGCGCTTACCGCGGCAAAAGTTAGCCGCAGTACGTAGGAGAGGGATTTTGGAATCACGAGACTGGCTCGGTATGGATGCGGGGAAACATGGCGGTGACCCCGTGAGTGAGCGCCGCCCGCTTTGGAACTAATAGGTCGTTGTAGCTGCAATATCGGGCGCGTTAGTCACCAACAAATGGTGCAGGAGACTTTCGCTTTGCCTTACCTCACTTAAATCGCAAAGCATCAGCAATGACCTCGCCTCATTTTTTGGATAGTCTTTCGATTCTGGCCATTCCAAAGCCTAAATGAACGCGATCATTGTCGGCATGGCAACGTCTTTGGAAAGTGGATTGCCTCGACTCGATCGGTTGGGTACTGATAGCACGCAAAAGCAGACAGCGCCCCAATAGACCTTTTTCTGAATTTCCCAAGCACCGAGGTGCATGCTACAAGAGTAGTTACACGCATTGCACGTGCTGGCGTTTGTAGTAGTTGTTCTAAAGCAAAAGATCTAAAACAAATTTTGCCTTGCACGCGCGTTCGACAAAGCCTTATTATGATTATTTACTTCGAATCTTTTATAAGTGGGAGGCCAGTGCGCGCGGGACATAGAATTACACTTCCAGCGTTCTCCTCGATGCTTGGATAATTTAGAAAAAAATGTATATTTGGAAGCTGTCTGCTTTTAAGTGCTATCAATACCCGACCGCTCGCTCACCGGGCCAGCGCCGTGTTTCCCCGTATCCCTACCGAGCCAGTCACGTGATTCCAAAATCCCTCTCCTAGGTACTGCGGCAAACTTTAGCCGCGCTTAGCGTTTCGAGCAAACGAGCCCTGGGGGCTAAGTTGGCGTGGGCAGGAATCTCTCTGATGCGACGTAACGGGGAAGAGGAGGAGCTTCTTTTGACTCTGCACCGTCGAGTTTCCCACGCCTCCTCTTACATTTCCTCCCCCCCCTCCCCCCCCCCTCCCCCCCCCCCCCCCCCCCCCCCCCCCCCGGCGGCGGCGGCGAGTTCCCCAGCGTAGCTCCGATTAGTCCCTACGCTCCGCAGTAAGGGCTCATTCACACTGGAAGCGGATCCGCGTTCGCAAAGCGGTTGCGAACGCGGTTGTATAAGGATTCAGTACAATTGCACGCGCACTCGATGACATCAAATGCGCGTGCATTTGTACTGGATCTTTATACAACCGCGTTCCCAACCGCTTCGCGAACGCGGATCCGCTTCCAGTGTGAATGGGGGGTAAAGGGTTTTATTTAATCGGGGGTTCGGTGGCCGGCTGGGCTAGCGCACACCAGCTCGGAGCACGTCGAGCGAAAGCTCCGTAGCAGAACCCAGGATCCTGGGTTCAATCCCCACCCCTGCCCGTTTCGATGTTGATGAGCATCGCACCGGCGTGCGTTCGTGTATCACTCCTGCGTGATGCACGTTAAAGACCCCAGGCTAGCGGTTGTACTGCACTGGCTAAATTTCCCATCTACAGCTGGGAGAATCGTCACCCGTTGAGGCAGATCAAGTTTTAGGCTGTATCAAAATACACACAACCCAATTCTCTTATTTAAATCAGTAAATGACAAATAAGAAACAGCACGGATGCTAATTATACAAATATTGCTTGGATATGGGCTAGTTAATTAGACATTGCGACGGTTTGCTACGCTGCGTAGATGTAAGAAAAACGCACTTAAAGGGGCACTGACACATCAAAATCATATTTTTTTTTATTATCCGAAACGATTGAAAA